CTTTGCCTTTCCCGGGAATCAAACCCGAGACCTCGTTGCCCGGCAGTCGCACTTGCGACCACTCGGCCAACGAGGCATTTTCCTAGTCATCTGATTCCAAAATTCTCACCAACATATTATCTTCTTGTGATATACATAATGTAGGTACATAGCTACTGTTCTTACATCCTATGGGAACAGGATCAAAATACCCACGCGGGTGAAGTCACGCTAGCATAAATAAACATGAATCGCTGAATATGTTGCTAAGCACAAAATACGATAGCGGCTTTATCAATTTTGTCAACTTTTTTCGATTAATATAGGACGAATATGGTATTTAAATGGGGATAGCAGAGTAGAACATAGCTACACCATATTCCTAATCCCCAAAAGGTCGGTAACGCACTTGTAACGCCTCTGGTGTACCAGGTGTACATGAGCGACGCCGAATGCTTACCATCAGGTGGGTGATCCGTTCGTTTACCGGCTTATTTCATAAAAAAAATAAAAAGAACATCAAAAAATTTGTCCGCATCGACGCCAATAAGGAAAGTACCCAGTAAGACTATCTTTTTAATTTTTTCAGGTATCTAATATGACACAATGCATCATGTTTTTACCTATAAGTATCTTGTAAAATATGCAAAAAACGTACAAATAAATAATCAAATAAATTATATATCAGCTAGTAGCTAGCTATTACATTTTAACGCAACGTCCCCAAAAATATAAACCAGTTATTTTATTTACAAAATGAAAGATACACTCGGAAGAGTCTGAAGCTTGTGTACCCATCGGCTTGGAATAAGCCATCCCTTTTCTAAACTCGACAATGATTAGGAGCTTACAATATCTTGAGGATGAAATATGGTAGGTAGTATTGATGGGTTCTAGGGGTTTTTGAAGGTGTCTCATAAGCCTTGCTGTTTTTCCTGATTCGTAGCAAAGGTAATGTCAATTGAAGGTTATATGAGGATCACCAATATTTTTTTAAGAAACAACGCCCCACTCTTGGATTGTTTCCTGTACCGTGGTTGCGTATACAAACATACAAGTTCACATACACATGACACCCAGACCTGGAACAAAAATTTGTGGACACAAAGAGTTGCTGCGTGCGGGAATAGACGCGGCACGTCCTGCGGTAGCCGGTTGTCCAGCCACCGCGCCCACCTTGCAGTCAATTACCTACTTAATATCATAAATGCGAAAGTTTGTTTGTTGGTTGAAGGGATCGAGATGAAATTTGGAACATGGTTATATTATGCTCTAACACTTCACTCCTCTGTGCATCTTGAGGTGGGACCTGGCATGGAAGGCCGCTACAAGTTCGGGGCTGGGGAAAAATGTGACTCCCGCACCCTCGTAGCCACGTGTGAGACGGGACATCGGGGTTGGTTTTAGTCAGTAAGAGTCTGACAGTCCCTTTCGTCCTCCCCAGGCGAGGAGACTCCATGAGGATTTCCCACCTTGGTGTCAAAAATAAAAAAGTGTAGATTATGGAATGATGCATTTTTTTTTAAGGGGCGAAAATCATCGAATGACTGCTCCCGCCTGGGTGAGGCGGAAGGGAGTGTCAGACTCTTACTGACTAAAAACCACCCCGTTCCTTCTCCTGCACGTCGAGCCGGAGCCCCGGTTACCCGTTAGGTTCTCCGCGACTGGAATGATGCATAGGCCACTTTTTATCCAATGCGAAAGCGGGCGAAGCCGTTGACAAAAGCTAGTACATAATACATCCTCCTTTGCTTATACCTTCGAGAATCAAAAGACGTGACGTTACTTGAAAAATATTATAACGAAGTCTTTTATCGTCCAGTGACTTTTTACCCACACAAAACCTGTGGAAAAAAAACAATTTCTTCGTTATTTCCAAACAAACCAACAATTCTCTGGAAATATATTTCAGCTGCAACTTTATACTTGGAAGCCTCTGGCTAAACCTCCAGACAAAAGCCAATCAAATATAACCATTACAAATTGACCTCCCACTACCATATCCCACCTTTGTTATTAAAGGTTAGGATATATTGGTACGAATAGGTGTATATACCATTCATAGAAATCTGTATAACAATTATAAATTGACCTTTTACTACAATATGTGCTGTTTGCAATGAGAGATCAGGATATACTGAATAGTATAGCTATATTTGCCGTTCGAAGATACGTTGTTGAATGTTTTCTTAGGTTTTTCTTTTAATTGGGAGTAATAACAATGTTTGTTGACGTCAGTAGTAATCGGATATGTTGGATGTTTTTATTTTTCTTGACCATTCTGTTTTTTCTTTCTTGTTTGTATATGTGAAAGATATAACTGTTTGGGAGTAGTAGATCATAAGAATATGGACTTTAAGAGTATAAGAAATAGTAGATATTATTGTTCGATAAAAGCGTTTAATTTTATCATAACATCACGCCTTTTTATCCCCGAAGGGGTAGGCAGAGGTGCACATTGTACCACTGTACAATGTAACACCCACTTTTTACTATTTATGTTATGAGACCCATGTAATACGGGGTGAGTCTATTGCCATATACCGGGCACAATTCCAGACTCCGTGCTACTACTGAGAATATTTAAAAACCCAGTAATACTTTGCCCGACCCGGGAATCGAACCCGAGACCCCTTGCCCGGTAGTCGCACTTACGACCACTCGGCCAACGAGAAAGGCGTTAATTTTACTCAAACGAATATGTATTATGTTAATTTTAATAAAAGGAAACCGAATCGAGGACTGCCTCGTTGGCCGAGTGATCGCAAGTGCGACTGCCGGGCAAGGGGTCTCGGGTTCGATTCCCGGATCGGGCAAAGTATTACTGGGTTTTAAAAAAAATCTCAGTAGTAGCACGGAGTTTGGAACTGTGCCCGGTATATGGCAATCGGCTCACCCCCTATTACATGGGACTCATATCATAAATAGTCAAAAGTGGATGGTACATTGGACACTAGCATAATGCGCACCTCTGCCTACCCTTTCGGGGATAAAATGTGTGAAGTTATGTATGTAGTAGGAAACCGAGTCTTTTAACATAAATCAGACTCAGAATCAAGCTCCATACTTTAATAAAAAAATTAATACAATTGAATAAAACACTCAAAATTGACACTAAATACAATATAGGAAAAAAAATGGAGTAATGTAAATAAACCATAAATGATACCGATACTATCTATTAAACATTTATAGACCTCTCTGCCTATACCCTTAAATATGTCGCGGAGAACCTAACGGGTTACCGGGGCTCCGGCTCGAAGCGCAGGAGAAGGAACGGGGTGGTTTTTAGTCAGTCAGAGTCTGACACTATCTCCCGCCTCACCCAGGCGGGAGCAGACATCCGATGATTATCCCCCCTTAAAAAATACCCTTAAATATAAAGATATAATGTTAAGTTAAAGTAGTAAATAACAACTTCTTCCATACACATTTATTTCAATTTAAAGTCAAAGCAATAAATATACGATTGTAATCTGAAACCCTAATCTACATACTACGACCTTGCTACGCGACTACGCTGCTACGACGCTACGCCGCTACGAATTTCGTAGTAGCGTAGCTTCCTGTCAAAACAGACTTTTATGATGCTATAAAGGGGTATCGCCTTCATGGTTGACTTGATAAGTGCAGCTACCGAACTTTATAATACCTATAAGTCAAGGTGTAAATACTTATAGGTAATAAGTCGTGGGCAACCGCTACCGAAGAACGCGTCGCGGGTTCGATTCCCGCACGGAACAACTCTTTGTGTAATCCACAAATTGTTGTTCCTTGTCTATGTGTCATGTGTATGTGAACTTGTATGTTTGTAAACGCACCCACGACACAGGAGAAAATCCTAGTGTGGAGCAACGTTTTTATAAAAAGAAATTATGAGTTTGACATAGGATTTTACATAGAGTTGTAGCGATGTCGCGCAGCCTACTATAGGAAGAACCCCTATGTGGTTCGAAACTAGTAGAGCTTTTTGAAATAAGCTATTTTTAGTTAATGTAGTATGTCTCACGATAGTTATAATAAAAATGATCACCTGATGGTAAGCAATCGGTACCGTCGGATTCCCGCAACACCAGAGGAGTTATAAATACTTTGTCAGCCTTTTCAGGATTAGGGATTTAAGAATTGGGAGACATGGCAATTAATCTATGAGGATATGGTTTAACTTATTATTTTTTCAAGTTTTTGAGTGGTAGGCAATCGGCGCCGCCCATGAACAACTGGAACACCAGAGGCGTTACAATTGCATTACCAGCGTTTTGGTTAAAGAATTTGAGGATTTTTGGAGCCTCAGAGATTGGGAATTTTCTGAAGGGGACGCTAATTGGGTCTCAAGTAGCCTCACTCACGACGAAACATAACACGAGCATTCTTTCACGTCGGTTTTCTGCTCGGCCGTGGTATCACTCCGGTCGAGCCGGCCCATTCGTGCCGACGCATGAATCCCACACTTATTACGTACTTAAAATGTCAATTACATTTAGTTCTTACACATTGACATTTAGATTTGGAAAATCCTTTTTGTTGCTACGGTGCTACGCGCTACGTAGCTACGAAATTCGTAGCACTTCGTAGACTTTTCGTAGCGATACTTTTAAAGTTATAATTTTGAAACTAACTTTAACTAGTACAGTTATCATTTTGTTTTAAGAAAATAATACCGTAATATATTTTGCCTAAATAGGGTAGGCAGAACCGTAAAGGAAAATTGACGATTTCACATCAATGCAAGCAATGTAGAGGTATTAATTAAAATAGATTATTACGCTATTTACAAGTACTATAGAGGTAGTTATTGTAAAACTTGAAGCTTTAAATTAGTTATGTAAATTAAATACTCATTGGCTAATATTTCTGTTAAAAAAAAACATAATCCACCATTCTTTCGAAGTGACCAAACACGACATTTTTCAAGCTTATTTTTCTATTTTCCAATTATAATGAAATAACTGCTTCTCACCTCATTCATATCACATCATCAATGTAATAATTCTCATCAGGTCAAACTGCTGCTCGCGCAGGTCACCCTCGTACCGCGTCACGAAGCCATCCATCGATGCCAGCGCAGACCCTCAGGCCATGCCGGCGCACCATCTACTCGAGCCCTCGTCCTCCATGAAGGAGAATAGGCCTCAGCTGAAGGGACCCAGGCCAATTGGGTCTAGTGTTTCAGGTGAGTGTGATTACAGGTATTTATTTAGTGCTACTGATTTATTTCTAGTGATTCTTTGTTATAACATAATTCATTGATAAGAAATGTAATGATTGCCTCATTGGCCAAGTGGTCGCAAGTGCGACTGCCAGGCAAGGGATCTCGGGTTCGATTGCCAGGTCGGGCAAAGTATTACTGGGTTTTTAGAAAAATCTCAGTAGTTGCACGTAGTCTAGAATTGTGGCCGGTATATGGCGATAGGTTCACCCCCTATTACATGGGACTCATGACACAACCTACTTTGTAATTAACTTTTTTATTGTAAGAATGTTTGATCTAAATGAGTTTCTTATGGTACTATATATACTGTCCTAATCTTGCCGTCGAAAATTTAAATGAATTAAGATCTTGATTAACTTTTCCTTAGCGTTTTCCTAAAATGTCACCTATGAAGTATTACTGGAAATGTTTCTAAAGCTCTCAAAAATACCTAATTTGCAAAAATTTAACAAAACTTCTATACTTAACTTGGCTTTAGACATACATTCATAACTTCACGCTGTGGCACTAAGCAGAGACTATGGAACGCCAATTACTACGATACTTACATGCCCCTTTCACTCCATCGACAGTCATCAGTCTTTTCATGCACGCTCGTTGGTTAAAGATACTTTTAATTTGGCCCTTCTTTAACATATCGCCAATCTGGTCATTGGCCCATTCGAACGAAGCGTTTCGCGTCAGGCTTCCTCATGCGAACCGCTAAGGAATGGAATTCCTTGCCAGAGGCTGTGTTTCCCGTCAAATATGACTTGGGTGTCTTCAAGTCCCGACTGAACAGGTTGCTCATAGGTAGGCGTGCTCCATCGTCGGCCACATCATCGCTTACCATCAGGCGAGATGGTGGTCAAACGTCGACCTATAAAGTGTAAAAAAAAACTATATGTCCGTCTAGGGCGCCCTCTACCGACGGCTCCTTTCATATTCGCCCTGTATACTCCTTTCGTTACTTTCTATCATCCATCCTTTCAACATGTCTAAACCAGAGTAACATTCCCTTTTCAATCCTTGTCACTACATCATCTTTCAATCCACACATTTCTCTAATAACACTATTTTACACTCGACGACTAAATTTATTCCACACATGTCTTTATACTTAGCGCTTAGCTGTAGAAAGGACACAAAAGCACACAAGCATCTAATAACATGAGACATAATCAATAACAGTACCCCTTGAACATAGAACATTAAAACAACATAACATAACATTACGCCTTTTATCCCTGAAGGGGTAGGCAGAGGTGCACGTTACGGCACTTAATGCCACTGTACAATGTAACACCCACTTTTCACTATTTATGTTATGAGTCCCATGTAATAGGGGGTGAGCCTATTGCTATATACCGGGCATATTTCCAGACTCCGTTTTTACAAACCCAGTAATACTTTGCCCGACCCGGGAATCGAACCCGAGACCCCTTGCCCGGCAGTCGCACTTGCGACCACTCGGCCAATGAGGCAGTCAACATTACAGTCAACGAACATTAAAATAATTAATTAATAACCTTACGAAGCATTCAATTACAATAAGTATAGTCGGACTTTACATTTGAATATTATTTCAAAACATGGGTAGGTAACAAATATACTGAAACTCCTCACATCATGGTACTCTAATCTATCAAATTTCTTTATGGCATTATCATCTTTATGTCTCTGTGTGATTAGGTTGAAAGTCTATTAAACATAGGGGTAACTTTATGTGCTGTTTGTAGATATCTTTTTTAATACTTTTATGTTCTGAAGCGCATATCATAATACTCAATTGTATAACATTTTATCAGTACATTTTGTACCTTATTACTTTGTGTGATTGGGTCGTAAGTCTATTAGACAGAAGGGTAGCTTGATGAGCTGTTTCTATATATTTGACTAAAGTTTTTTTAATGGTTAATAGCAACGAACAATTGCTCGCTTCTTCCATTACGTTAATGAAAATAGTATGTAGATAAAGTATGAATATTTTTGATGTTACTTTGTACAGTAATAAATATTATTTATTATGGACATGGAATGTGAAATAGATGTCCTATTGTTGAGTTCGATTCTTAATTCAGGTTAAAAGGTTTGAGAAAGGCTCTCTCGCTCCCTATTGTATAACTTAATACAAAAGAACTAGCAAAACACGCCTCATTTATGTATGTACTATACACTAATAATTCTGCTGTCCCCCTTCCGGTAATAAAGGGCGTTATGTTTTGATAGCACGAAATGTAAATTTAAACTCTTATTAATTTTAATATAACTTCTTCAAATAAATTGTGACTCCTTTGATGTCGATGCAAAACAACGGAACACACCGTTATTTTTTTCAATATTTTGTACACTATTTTATTTTTTCAATAGTTTTTTTTTATATACAGGTATTTTTTATTATATTTAAGGAGCTCACTAATAATTTTCCTTTACCTTCCAGACTCGATCTCCCTCTCCTCGCCGGTAGCATGTACCTCCCCACGCGAGGACGTGCTCGGCCCTCCGATGCCTAGTAACGTCTGCGCGTTGCCCGAGGAGCATCGCTGCTGCTTGCTGGGCAAAGTGCCCGGGCTTAGGGCAAGGCGGCGGAAAGCTATGCTGATTTATGTATGTGCTGCTGATTCTCAAGGTGAGGCAAAAAATTTATTTTACATGGAAAGGTACTTTCCTTAATAAATAAAAAATATTTCGACTGTTCAATTAAAAAATAATCAGACTTTCATCAATTTTTTTATGACCAACTTAATTTCATATTTTTTTCAGCATATATTTAAGTAAGTATGCTCTTTGACGTTAAAATCACGTGACGTCACAATACACAATCTTACAAAATTTATAGTAAACTGTTCGAAAAAAGTATTGAATTGATTTTGGCTAGTTGGCAAGTACCCAATTCATAAAAACATATGAGCTATGCATCTGCATCAGCTAGCAATTGCTAATACATGGATAAAAGGAACTGATAAACAACCATTTAGAAGAATTACATAGATAGCCATATAATTAGAAGTTCGTCTTAGACAAGTTTGCCATATATATATATTCAAACTTGGCAGGCAAGTTGACAGCGGGCACCGCTTGGCAGGTAGTGAAAATTGAGTTACGCATTTCCCTATACTTATTATACTCTTTGGTCACGCATTTAATAAGGTGCATTAAATACACCTCTGTATACATATTTAAAAATAAATGTAATTATTTCTTTAACTTTCTAGACTGTTGTGCGGAAAAAGGCGCGTTACAGTGCGGTGCGGCGGCGCGGCTCCGTGTCCGCGCGCGTCGCCGCGGCTGGCGGGTACACGTCGCCGACCTACACTGGCGCTCACCGCTCGAACAACAGCGCGACCACCGCTTCCCCGTCCTGTGTATTGCTGAGCTGGCTCGTAAGTACCAACACTATTAGATAGAATAAGTATAGGATCGAATAAATACTTAAAACGCGTTTTGCAAATACTAAATACATTAAATACATATGTCATGTTGCTTCGTTTGAACAAAATGGCTAGTTTTTGCCCGCGAAGTATGCCGTGACATATTTATAAGTGACACCCAGACAGACTCAACAGTACAGTTGAGGGGTGCGCCTAAAAAACACTCATATAAGAAATGTTTTACAGGTGGTTGGCGGAAACAGCCATCAATTTGCATATCTTAGATGATACCACTCCACGTAACCCTCCATTCTAATGTTCCAGGTCAATCGGAGCTGGGTGCAGTGGTCCCGGTGTTGTTCCTCAACTCTGGGCTGGGGACTCCGCTACTCCCCCACACGTTGGAGTGTGCGGACTTCAAGGCCGCGTTAGAAACCGCCGAGGACGAGAGCGATAAGGCTCTGTTGAATAAATGGTTAATACACTAAACAACACTTTGTAATATTTCTCTAGTGTAAATAAATTCTTGTTTGGTAAAATAATGCTAAAAAATATTGGTTTATTCGAACTTAAATATGAAAGTAAAATGTTTTTCTGGCCCTGCCGCGGAGAACCTAACGGGTGGGTTACCGAAGTGCAGGATTAGGAACGGGGTGGTTTTTAGTCAGTAAGAGTCTGACACTCCCTCCCGCCTCACCCAGGCGGGAGAAGTCATTCGAGGATATTCTCCCCTTAAAAAAAGCCTCTCATCCTGAGCGAAGTAGGAAGGAGTGCCATACCGTTACTCACTAAAAACACCTCGTTCAGGAAACGGCCCAAAAATGTATGGAACCGAAATGATCTTCTTTTTAGGTACCATAGTTAAAATATCTATGTACACAATATTTTAGGTACGTACTAGACGCGAGTACGACGCCGCCATGCTACCGTTTAGTCCGCGGTGCGCCCGCTAGATGGCGGCGCGAGATGGCGCGCGCGCTCAACGTGCTCGTGCGCACACTGCCGCAGGAGGCCTGCGATGCTTACCTCACTACTGTGGTTGAACAGGTAAACATGGCTTATTTAACTAGTGAGTTTATCTGGTTGAGCCAATTTTAGGTTTAAAAATGTTTTTAATGAAGAGATTTCATGAAGTAACACGATTGTGCTATTTACTTTTTTGGCTACAAAACATAATTAAGAACTAGTAAAAAATTAAACTGTCTTCAAACACCGAGCGGTCACCGGTGACCGCAACCTATTGTTCTTTAATTGTGTCTATAATGACGGTACTCAAAGAGTTAAAGTTTTATTCCGCTGAAGAATATTACAATATGCAGTATGTAGCACCGATCTTCCGCTCGCATATAAACGCTCATGCAGCAGAGGTGCGACACAAAACACACACAGGATACGCAACAAACCACTCGAATCACTCTCGACATATATGTGTCGCTCCACCACGGAGCATCATCAGAAGTAGCCACCGAGTCATTCGTCGCTCCTGACATTCGAACCACGAATAAAAACTAAATAACTATATTCCCAGTTGTTAGTGAAGTTAGTGAAGCACGAATTTCCGCTAAGTAACGCCTTACACTTGTTGTCACCTCATTTACATAATAATGTATCTTCATCAATTTTAGTAGAGAAATGTAGTGAAATGTGTGTAAAAGGCCGGCAATGTACCTGCGACTCCTTTGGTGGGTTCATGGGCGACGCTGATCGCTTACTCAGGCGATCCGAGAGCTCGTTTGCCTATTATTCCTTAAAAAAAATGTGATCATATAAGTACGCCAGTTAAGAGTTGTATAAAGATAGAAGATAGACATTGTTGGATTGGTCCTTTACAGTAATTGTTATTATTATTAAAAACACTGATTTAATTCCCCAGGAGGTGCAGCACACAGTCCTAATGAGCGTGGAGGCAGCGCGTCGCTGTGTGTGGGTGTGTCGCGCGGGTGGCGCCGCCGCTGAACAAACTGACACCGGCGACAGGGCGCACCAACAGGAACTGCAGCGGAGACTTAACAATTTGCAGAAGGATCTAAAGGTATGTGTGACATCGAGAGTACTCAACTAGTTTCGAGCTTTAACTGAGACTCATAACCATGAGATTTTTTTTTTATTTACACTTCTTGTATACAATGGCGGACTTAATGCCTAGTGGCATTCTCTAACAGTCAACCTTAGGGTGATGCAGAGAGACACAATAGTAGGTGTAGGAGTAATGGTGGGATATACGAGACAAAGTAGAAAATGCATTCTGTCTCATATGAATCCGCGTTCGAAACAGCATGTTTGATTGAAGATTGAAAAGGAAAATCATCAGCTTTGCAAATCCGTTAAAATTAAAATTCGTTCTTTAAAAATTAAAATGCACTGTTGTGTTTTAAAACTTTTTTATATTAACATTAACCAGGCTTTACCTCTTTACCTACTAATTACATATTTCACCCACAGCAACACCTAAGTGAGCGCAATGTGATCCGCGCGACAATGCGCGGTCGCGGCGGCGCGGACGACGACTACACTACCGGCGTCAGCGCCGCGCTCGGGGACAGACTCGACGCGCTACTTGATGCACTCGTTACCGACCACGACCTGCCTGCAGGGTATAATGGGATACCTACTAGGTATTTAAGATTCTTTTTATATCATCCAACTTTGCCCGTGGCTATACGCGCGTTAACCTTCCTCTTGAATCACTCTATCTATAAAAAACACATTTCTAAGTATACATAGGATAGACAGCGGAATTTGACTTTGTTTTATACTATAGACATGTAAAGAGTAGTTTTACGTTTTATTATGTAATCGCTAGCAATTATTACAAGGATTAGCAAGCTGAAATGGCAGTGGGCCGGTCACATTTGTCGAAGAACCGATGACCGCTGGAGTAGACGTGTTCTAGAGTGGAGACCGCGTCTAGGCAAACGTAGTGTAGGGCGCCCTCCAGCTAGGTGGAGTGACGATATACGTAAAGTGCCTGGGCTTGGATGCGCAGAGCTGAAGACCGAGCTCAGTGGCGTGCCATTTGAGAGGCTTATGTCCAGCAGTGGACGAAAACAGGCTGTTGATGATGATGAATGTAATCGCTATAAACTGTCTCGGATTCTTAATTCCCTATAAAGTCCTCGATGCATCCCAAAATCACGTCCTTGAAGGCCGTATTTTGAAGGCCTTGTGATAGTGATCTGTCTATCTTCAACAATAAATGAATATGTTTTTATAATAACTATCGTGAGACATACTAAATTAAATAAAATCGCGGGTTACTCACATGAATATACTGAGAAAAGTGAGCTGCGCGACGTCGCCGCGATTGCGCACGCTGCTCATGAGGAAGAACCCCTCTGTAGTTCGAAACTAGTCGAGCCTTTCTCAGTTCATTCACGTCAGTAACCCGCGATTTAGTTCATTTAATAACTGAATAGTTCATAATCAACCAATTATTTTGTTTCGCAGTTTATTCGACGAGGTGAACGAGCACCTGACGTTCTGCCAGAAGGCGGCGCAGTGCACCTCCAACAGAGAGATCACGCTCAATGAACTCAAAACGTAAGTGTTTCTAAAATTCATATTTAATTATCTACACATTTCTTTTGTAGTTCTATTGGCTTTTAAAGAGTTCTAGATAGGTGCAGCATTAATAAAAGAAAATAAACAATCAATTCTACCAAAAAAGTTAAAAGGATATACGTTACTTATTGAAAAAATAACAACACAGGTTTTACTTAACCAACCCAAGCTGCAACCACCTGAATGAAAATCACAATGATTAAAGCAACATGCTTTTAAACGTCATAAGCGCCCTCTACAGACCTCAAAAACTACATGAACTAATAATATTGCAGGTACATAACGGGTGACAGTACGGTCCCGCTAGCGCTGATAGGTGGCGCTGGGTGTGGTAAGGCGACTCTTGTCGCTCGCGCCGTCACACAGGCGCACTCATACCAACCCGACCTCGCTGTTATTGTACGGTAAGATCAAATTTTACATTTATATGTTGTACAGATTAAAAAAAAGGGTTGTAACTAAAATTTTTCACTCAAAATCATAAATTAATTATTGTTTAAACATGCTTCTGCTATTAATTAAATGGTACAAGCGATAGTTAGTTTATCAAGAGATGAAAGTCACTCAAAGTGTTTGACATAAACGTCAGAGTCAATCCCATACATTAGGTGGTATCTTTGGACCATCGACTAGCGCTTAAGTTTCATCTGGCTGATTATAAAAAGGTTGCTTGACAAATAAGTAATCAAGATCTTTGTCAAAAATTACAATTTTAAATAACTCCTTACTAAAACCAGACTGAATATTTTTGCTATCTTCAGGTTCGTGGGTCTGACGCCTCAGTCGAGTAGTTCCCACATGCTGCTGAAGTCCATCGTGGACCAATGCCACGTGCTGCTCACTGGCACCGTCTACCGGGGACGGAATGTAAGTACAACATTACAGGAATGTAACATGGTAGTTTGTAACATGATAGTTTGTAACATGATATTTTGTTACATGGTAGTTTGTAACATAATAGTTTGTAACATGGTATTTTGTTACATGGTAGTTTGTAACATTTGTAACATGACATTCATATTGTCAACCCAGGGTCACCCCTTTTTATCGTACTCCTCGATTTTGTGTGATCTCTCTCTGTTTGCAACGATTTTAGCTATATCGTCCACTCAAACTATTTTTGGTATGGTGATTAATTTGCTGTAGCTAAAGCCAAAATGATTGTCTTACGAAACAAGGTCGCCAATAACGTTTTTTTTTATTTTCAACATCTCTAGTCTTTATTTACTTGTTTAGCTTGAAATTGTTAAACCCAGTGTTACAAATTTCTGGAGCTGGCTCCGGTTTCAAAGCAGGAGTAGGAACTGGGTGGTTTTTAATCAGTAAGAGTCTGGCGCTGCCTTTTGCCTCACCCAAGGCGACCCAAGGAGACGTAATTGCAATAATTGATTTGGTTGTCAGGACGTATATTCCCTGTCGGCGGCTCTCCCGGGTCTGCTGGGCGGCGTGGGGCGGTCCCGCGGCGCGCTGCTGTGCGTGGTGGGGGCGGACGCGCTGCGCGCCGCGCGCTGGCTGCCCGAGCGACTGCCGCATAATGTCAAGATGATCGTCACTGTCACTGAGGGTATGTACTACAAGTATTTTTAAACCAAGTTCAAAAAAATAATGTTCTGAGTTTGACCTGTATGTATGTATGTTTGTGTGCCAATATCGCTCTATTGGCTGAACCAATTTTGATGCGGTTTTCAGAAAAATGTTTGTTACATTTATGAGAACGTTTTAGTATATTAATTAACCGGTTTTTTTAACCGTAGTTTATGATAGAATTATTTTGTATTATACTATATAATCCATACACACGCGACCCACGACGCGGCGACTGTCGCGCTGCTACCGGCTACTCAAGTCTGCGTGCCCAGCGCGTCCTCTGCCGCGATTCACGCGCACTTTCCTCCATTCGTGGTATCGGCGACGGCGGCGCGCGCGACACTGTTGGCACGCGCCGGTAACTGCGTTGGTGTTGGGTTCGAATCCCGGGTCGACGCAAAAACCGTGTTACATACCGCGCTCACTGTGTCACACTCCAGACCCGCAACATTGTAGTCTGGCGCAGATTTTTGACACTTTACTTGGTATACATTATATTACATTTTATAATGTTAATATTCATATCTTTTTACAGAAAAAGACGAGCCATCAAGCTCGGCGATAATGGCGGTCCTATCATCTGAAGATGGACCAAAAGTGGTGCGGGCCCCGCCGGTGGGGCCTGACGAGGCCAAGGCAGTGCTCACTGCATGCGCCGCCACGTACAGCAAGACTGGGGCCGCCTCGCCACCTGAGGCCGCTGTGAAGGCCGTTCAAAAATGCACCTTGCCTCTTTATGCTAAGGTTAGTTTGTATAAACATTTTCCGTAATAACCTATGCATTGTTTCGCTTTTTTCTTAAAGGAGAAAGTATTGTGATAGTACTAAATGAAAATATGCGAAATAAAAAATTAAAATACGGTCTGCGAAAAATTTGAATAAAATACTGCGATGGCTCAACGCAATTAATATGAATAAAATTCTATTATTTACGTAAAATTTCAATAATGGTTATCCTAATCCGAATAAAACAGAACCCTTTTAAATTTCAAATTATACGGAAACACCAAAATTTTGTGATAAAGTGCCATTAAAAATTTTACTTCAGCCTAACTTCACTGACTTACAAACGGAACAATTCAATCTTTGACGATTCACAAAGTGTCTAATTAAGAATGAATTGAAATAAATGCTTTGACTTTGACTTCAAAACCTTAAACTAATATTAACCAAAATCCCTTTCAGATCCTTGCATGGCAGATCTCACTATCAGCAGAGACCTTCACGGAACTGACAGAACCAGAGACAACACCAGAGCTGGTGATTTGTGAGGACTTGGAAGGTCAACTGATACAGATCCTCATCACCACTGAAGCGGCGCTGGGGGCAGAACGAGTGAAGACTTGTCTGGCGCTGCTCACTGCTTCCAGGCGGGGTCTGGATGACACTGAGATACTGGATATATTGGCTCATGATGACCTGTTCCGGAGCGAGGAGACATATTGTAAGTATTTTGAAAGGTTTTTTAAAAAGTGTCGTAAATCTTATTAAAAAAAAAGTAGTAGTTGCCCGCGATATCGTCCGCGTAGAAATTGAATTTTAGAACATAACTATTTTTGTTTTAATTTCCGAAAATAAAAGTAGTCCATGGTACTCCTTAGTATACTAAGGATGTTATTAAGAATGTTTTGTTTGTTTCTGCCAATAGCATTCTTTCAAAATCGGTCCACCCATTCCAGAGATTATCTAGTAAAAACAAACAGACAGACAGACAAAAATTGTTAACAATGTTTTTTCTGTGTGTATCGTATGTATATTCGTATACATGTAGTAGAAAGCGGTTATTTTAATATTACAAAGACACTCCAATTTTATTTATCTGTATAGATTATACAGCAACTATTTATTTTTATGCCATCAGTAGGTAGTGCCCAGGTTCTGGTAGACTGTTAATGGTAACATAACATAACATCACGCCTTATATCCCCGAAGGGGTAGGCAGAGGTGCACATTATACCACTGTACGATGTAACACCCACTTTTCACTATTTATGTTATGAACTTATGGGTCCCATGTAATAGGGGGTGAGCCTATTGCCATATACCGGGCACAATTCCAGACTCCGTGCTACTACTGAGAATTTTTTGAAAACCCAGTAATACTTTGCACGACCCGGGAATCGAACCCGAGACCCCTTGCCCTGCAGTCGCACTTGCGACCACTCGGCCAACGAGGCAGTCTTGTCTTTGTTAATGGACACTGTTACTGTTAATAGTATGGCAATTAATAATAGTTTTTACCTTTACGCTATTGGTAGGCCCACGGCCCACGTGATCGTAAGAGGGCATAGTAGCCAAAAACTCTTGCAATACCAGTGGTATTAGACATGCGTTGTGGAACATGTAAGAAACTGTCATACTGCGATATCGAGGCATCATTTCCAGGCCAGAGGGTTCCCTAAAACTCCAACCCCTGTAAAGACATCTCAAAGCTTGTTAACCCCTCGAGCGTCCTTATGAGCATCCGGTGGATCATAAGAAAAAATGCTCCATGCTGCTTTCTCTTTTATAAAATCTATTATTAATGTTTTGTTTTTATTTTGACTGTATTTTTTATTTCTATTGTAATGATCCTTGTTTTTGTGTGCCAATGGCCAAATAAACGCATTTTCTTTCTTTATTTCTTTTTTTCTCCAAATGTCACGTGTGCACCCGTTGGATCATAAGGAACGCGGACGCTTGACGGGTTAATGCAATGTCAGGCCTTTCTCCCATTTGTAATGGTAGACATAATGACACGGCAATGAACAAACACTTCATGCATGGTTATGGTTATCGATTGGGGTGTTTCATTTAGCTCTTTTGAGGTCGTTAATGTGACACCAGTGCCCCTGTACTTGCCCCGCAGTGCCGTGGGCGCCGGCGTCGCTAGTGTGGCCGCAGCTGGCGGCGCTGCTGTCGCCGTGGCTGCGGTGGGACGCGCGCGGCGCGGCGCGCTGGCGGGACGCCGCGCTGGCCGGGGCGGCCGCCGACAGGTACCTCGCCGACTGCGACACTGCCGTACGACGCACGCTCATTGATTACTACGAGGTAATACTGTCACACCATACTATTTTTAACTATTTTACGAGATAACTCGACTAAATTAACTAAAAATTTACACACGTAAATATACTAAGAAATACTCTACTAGTTGCGAATCACTTTTCTCAGGCACATACACACGCTTCTTAGTATGTTTACGTGTGTAACTCGTAATTTTTAGTTAATTCAGTTTGTCTTACGATAGTCAATATAAAAATGTAACCCGACTAGTTTCAAGCTACGCTTGGGGCTCATAGTCATGAACAGCATTGCGTGATACACGGCACAGTTAACATCGCGAAATCATTAGTCGTGGTTTGAATCTAGTCGAATTACAGAAATTTATTTACATTTAAATAAAATAATTATTTCATTGCCCAAATATTAAACAAACCCATTTCTGTGATAGAGGAACAATAATAATTAAATAAATTGCAGGGTAAATGGTATTCGGAGAATGACCCCAAGATGGCGGGCCGTCTGGTGTCACAGGAGAACAAGTTCTCCGAGGAATAGTAAGTTTTTTCCCATTTAAACATATCGAATTGTGTAAAATGCACTTTATGTACTCTAAACTAAAAGCTATTTCACTTTGTATACTACTTCTTACATCTTATTTCATTATTATTTTTATCTTTCTCACCTCACAGCTACAACACAAGGAAACTAGACGAGCTGCCGTTCCAACATTACCACATTTACAAAGACGACCCAACCACGTTCGCGAACCAACCATATTTCACCCAACTCGACTGGGTACATGACAAACTGGCAGCGACCGACTGCTGCCATTTCCTCGAAGACATAGCTTTAGTCCACATCGACCCACTACCAGAACACATTGAAATATTAAAAGACGTATTCGAAACTCACTCTTACGCGTTGGACTATGACCATCGCCAGTTCTACGGGCTTTTAAGAATGACCATGGAGAAGCGACAACGCAATGGACACCAAATAAAAAGTAAAATCGTTCAAGATTGGATGAAAGAGATCCAAGAGCCTCCCGTACCAACGTTGTATCCTGAAAATGTGGATTTCTGGAAGACTATGGAATGTAAAGAAAAACGGGACTTTTCTATGCACGATGGATTTGATACGAAGACTTATGATTTGATCGTGAGGTTCGATAGTAGGGGTAAATTTGTGGCTACTGTTTCGACTGAGAGAGAGGAGATCTGCGTTTGGGATGTTGTTAAGTGAGTATTTTGTAGGTTTTCACTTTCTTTGTTAAAGGCATAATTATGCGTCATAATATGCCCTGTAATGCTATTCTCTAAGAAACAGTTTCTAGGCTGTACGCTGCGTCGAATTCGTCGACGAGCCTAGAGATCGACCGCGCCTTCAGCGCTGTTTCAAACTGTATTCACTAACACAGTATACCTCGTCGACGAACTGACGGCTGTAAGCTGTCTCCGCTGGTTCATCGACGAATTAAGGCTTTCAACATTTGCTGTCTGTTCGTATGGTAATCAGAACGAATAGGACCTAACGACCCATTTGCGCATACTTCCTTTACAGACTACAGACTACAGTTCTAAAAGAATCTACAAAGATGAAGCTGTATCAAATCTATCTCTTTAAAATTAAAATTAAAGCATTTATTTTTATTACGTTAAGCATAGACACTTTTGAAATGTCAACAAAAATTTGGGCTCTACAAAGACGTACCGTATTTCAACTGAGATGCAACCTCAAATTGCAGTTCTATTGCAGTTATGACCAAACGGTTGCAAACTAAACGCGCAGTCTGATTGCAGTTCTATTGCAGTCATGACCAAACGGTTGCAAACTAAACGCGCAGTCTGATTGCAGTTCTATTGCAGTCATGACCAAACGGTTGCAAACCAAACGAGCAGTACGATTGTAGTTCTATTGCAGTCATGACCAAACGGTTGCAAACCAAACGAGCAGTATGATTGTAATTCTATTGCAGTCATGACCAAACGGCTGCAAACCAAACGAGCAGTACGATTGTAGTTCTATTGCAGTCATGACCAAACGGTTGCAAACCAAACGAGCAGTATGATTGTAATTCTATTGCAGTCATGACCAAACGGCTGCAAACCAAACGAGCAGTACGATTGTAGTTCTATTGCAGTCATGACCAAACGGTTGCAAACCAAACGAGTAGTCCGATTGCAGTTCTATTACAGTCGAGTCAACTGCCTTTATACTGCCTTCATACTGCATCCGAACTGCAATTTGCAGTTAAAATACGGTTCATCTGTTTAGAGCCTTACCATTTACCATCAGTGAATATGCTGTACTCGTTCCAAAATGTAGACTCGTATAGTAATGGCCTAGTGCATACACGTCGATTGAAGACGCTTATTTCTTGTCTTTAACTTTATCCTTGCATCGTATTTCAGGTGTCAGCTAGTAAGGAAGATGGTGGGTGTGACACACCCTATAAACTTGGTGCCAATAGACGAGTACAAGTGCGTGGTGCTATGTCGCAGGGAGCTCAGGGTCTACAACCTGGATCAGGTATAATTATTGTGTTATGCTTCTTCCAACTGCCTCGTGGGCCGAGTGGTCGCAAGTGCGAGTGCCAGACAAAAGGTTTTGGGTTCGATTTCCGGATTGGAACCCCAAAGGCGTTACAGATGCAATTACCGGCCTTTTGGAATTAGGAATTTGAGGATTGTTGAGGATTCAGGGATTCGGGAGATTGGGGAGGGAGAGGAGGTTAATCGGGCCTCCGATAACCTCACTCACAAGACAAAACACAACACAAGCGTTGTTTCACGTCCTTTTTCTGCTCGGTCGTGGTATCACACCGGTCGAACCGAAAGCTAAGTTTCGGCACCAATGGTGCCGAAACTTAGCTTTCACACACTTAGTTACCGTCCACGTTAATGAATATGGTATGAGAGAGTTAATCTCTACACCTTTTTACAACTCATAATTATCTTCTATAATCTCAAATCCTAACCCCCATACTTTTATATCAGTATAATAATTGGGTAGTTTCCAGGGTATCAAAATTAAAAATCTAATTAGTCCATCAGTTAGATAATGAAAAAATATTAGACATATATTTTTTATTATTTCCTATTAAGTTGCAATACTTAGATAAAATGGCGCTAAGTTTAGGAGTGGGAGGTCGTTACGTCATAACGTGCCACAAAATTTGACACACACCCATGACGTCACACGATATTTAAAATTAATATATCGTCGAAAGCACTTAATTTTGTGAGAAAACAAAAAATACGTGTCTAATGTTTTAAATTAATCTACCAGGTGGAGATTAAAATAAAATTTAGGAAACTATCCTATTACTTGTATCTTCCTCAGGGCACATTCTTGGTAGCTCTGAAGGGTGTGATGAACCAGAAGATGCCGTACTACGGTCTCCACGACCCGACGCATCTCGTGGCACTCTCCAGGAACCGGATGTACGTCAACCTAATGAATATTGAGACTGGTGAGTAAAACTTTTATTCAAATATCATAATTTATATAACTACATAAATATTTACAACTTAAAATTAACTACAACTAAACTATTAAATAAAAAGAAAGTAAAAGAAAACAACAAAAATTATACCCTTAATTTAGGCGTCAAAGTATTCGTCCGCATCACTATCACAGGGGAAAGTTCCCAGAAGACTGGCAGCATTGCCACGTTGAATGGCAATGCTTATTTTCTGTCCGAAGAAAAAGCCAGCCCTCTGGTCACGTGTAGAGTCGATAAGCCTACGGGCGATGTCTTTAAACACAGAGTGTGCACTGGGACCCCATGGCCCAAGTGTTTCGACCCCAAACGGCTCAAAACAGTAGTTACCCACTAGATTTGAATATTTACGCCGTTTGAGGGCCTCTGCCGCGGAAGCAGCTGCACCAACGCATGCAGCGGTGCTTAAAAGATGTGATGGCGCAAGGGTGTCTACACACGTCGCGTCCCACACCAAAGGCCTACCCATCTTCCAAGGCAGCAACGACATACCATCTGGTCTTTTGCCGTCATCACGTACCAAACCATTAGGTTCTAATACGGCTGGTACACCGGCTGAGGCAAGAGCACGACGAATGATGTCGTTGATGCTGGCATGGCGAGCTATGCGGCCTGCACTTCTGCAACAAGAAAGACCATGGTGTCCCAAGCCATCGACTCTTTCTCCACAGTGACAATAATGCGGAGAAACACAAGGAGCACCTAAACGTAGGCATACAGCTAGGCGGAACGTTATGTCATCCAACATAGTACCTATGAAGGGTGACGGGAGTGCCTGAAGCCACAATCCTGATTCCCATTCTCCCACAGCCAATAAGCGAGCTCGCTCTGCAGTATTAGGAGACGAGTTGATTAAAGACTCACGAATAACACTGCACAGCGGCACGTCCCACTGTCTCTGAGAAGATGGGTGAACAGGTAAATCCGTAAGTGGGCAAGCCATTTTCCACGCTTCCACTGCATCAGTCAAACACGGCACCTCAAAATTGGTCAGTGACGAAGAAAGAATTTTCCTGACTAATTCAGAGGTACTGTGGACCGAAGACAGAAAAGCTGGTAAACTAATACTTGAAATTTTGCGGACGCCGAGCCCTCCCATGCGAATAGGAAGAGTAGCTTGTTGCCAAGCTCGGTCATCCAAAGCCACATTAAGTATGGATGACAATGTGTGTCTGATAATTTTGTCTACGTTTTCTAAAATGTGTGAATGTTTCCATAGATGTGAAGCGCGGAGAATATAAGTAAATTTTGGTCCAAAACAACAGTACCGAATTAGGGTGAAAGCCGAATGTGTGTTGATTTTGTGTAATCTATCCGAAATGTGATTGAAATTTTGTATCTTGTCCTCGATGAATTTAGGAAAACATTCATCGAATATTGGTGAACCTAGGAGGTGAAGTGAGTACTTATCAATAATTTTGATATTTGGAGCTATTTGATTAAATTTTGCTAGAGTCGTTAGTCTGTCTGTAGAGTCAGGAATGTATAGTTCACATTTTGATAAATTTAGGTCAAGGCCAATAGACTGGTGAGTTAATTATGCGAAGATGTATTCCCAACAGTAGGCTTGTAACAAAAAGGTACTAACATAGTTTTAAGATTTTAAATTTTTTCTTACTAACCCCTATGGATGCTTCACTTGTCCGAAATAAACATTATTTTATTTTTATTTATTTATTTAATTCATGTATATTTTAATGTTTTACTATAATATATCGATGCTGCTGGTTGCCGAGCAAGGGGGCTCAGGTTAGATTCCCATGTCAGACTAGTTTATTTAAATGAGCAAACAAATTACTTGCATCGTCATCAACAGCCTATAAATGCCCACTGCTGAACAAAGCCTCTTCTCGCATGTAGAAGGTTTGAGCATTAACCACCACGCTTGCTCATTGCGGGTTGGCGATTTCAAACTTATAATTAGAAATATAAGTCCAGGTTTCCTCACGGTGTTTTCCTTGACCGTTTGTCAGTGTTGTCTAGATAATCTTAGAAAGTACATATAGCTCGGAAAATGTCACGTGGTCGCCGTTGGTTTGTCTGTTAGTTTGTCGTTAACAAACTGTTAGTTTGTCGCGGAGAACCTAACGGGTTACCGGGGCTCCGACTCGACGTGCAGGAGAAGGAACGGGGTGGTTTTTAGTCAGTAAGAGTCTGACACTCCCTCCCGCCCCGCCTCACTCAGGCGGGAGCAGTCATTCGATGATTTTCCCCCCTTAAAAAAAACCCTCAACAGTTTAGTTAGTTGTCAGCAATAAACACCGCCCATGGTCACCCGCAACACCCGTAAGGTATTATGTGAGTTAGGGGCCTTTTTGGGGATTAAACCTCCAATTACTTTATCATCTAAGTAATAAAAATACATAGTTAGTTACTACACTCAATTCAACAAATTTAGAACCCTCTCCTTGTTTTGAAGTCGGCTAAAAATGCTTTGCATCATGTTTCCAGGTGACTGTGTAACGACATTTAAGGCTGGAGAAGACAGGTTCCTCAACTCTCTGCTGGTCTCTGGAGATGGAAGGTGAGCCACTTACATATCTAGCACCTAAAATTCATTCGCAGCGACGCCGTGCAGTCTACTTGGCGCAGTAGGCTGCGCGACATCGCCGCGATCGCACACGCTGCTCGCAAGGAAGAGCCCCTCTGTGGCTCGAAACTAGTAGAGCTTTTCTCAGTATACCCACTTGAGTAACCCGCGATTTTTAGCATTTCTCACGATAGTTATTGTATTAACATTTTACAGAGGCTAGAGAACAGCGCTCCCTGATGAATTCGAACCTTTTACCTACGATCTCCAACGCACCTGCCAAGCGTGGAGACTGCGAAAATCTCTTTTCCGAAATTTCACAGACTGTTATTGATAATCTAGTAAAACTATAATTCCTTTTTCTCCCAGGGTGCTAGTATGTGGTGACGAGACGCAAAAGCCGTTCCCTCTGCTCGTCTGGTCGCTCACATCTCGGAAACTGCTGTACGACCTGAGGATACCACATCACGACTTCATCACTTCGAAAGCTGCTATTACTTATGAAGGTAACGTCTGTCATAGTTGACGTAATATTACGATCGGCATTTTAGAAGGCGAGGACTGATGCACCGATGTGTAGTTTAAGGAAATGTTATACATTTTTACCTGTTATTCTGAATTAAGGCTGAATTTATTGTATATTTACTAGCAGTAAGAACTTGCCATTGCTAAGAATAGAGTAGTTTCCAGGGTAAGAAAATTAAAAATCTAATTAGTCCGTCAGTTAGATAATGAAAAAATATTAGACACGTATTTTTTTATTTTCTCGTATAAAGTTACAATACTTAAATAAAATGGCGTTAAGTTTAGGAGTGGGGGGAGGTGGTTACGTCAGAACGTGGTACATTTTGTAGCACGCTGTGACGTCACGCGACATTTCAAATCAATATATCGTCAAAAGCATTTAATTTTGTGAGAAAAGAAAAATTACGTGTCTAATGTTTTAAATTAATCTACCAGACGGACATTAAAATAAAATTTAGGAAACTACCCTTATTTCAGTACAATTCAAATTTAATATCAATTTCAATGTACTAAAAATACCTTGCCTAATCCGGTTAAAAAACCTTACGACCAAATACTTAAAAATCAACTTTAAGTCGCGCTTAAATATAGTTCTGTCTCTACAAATTCTTTGTAAAATGACAGAGATGGCACGATATTTAAGTACAACTTTAAATTGAGCCTTTCAATATTTGGCTGTTAGTGGTTGGAAAAGCAGCTAGATATATCTAGCTGCTTCAGAATTACACATAACATCACGTCTTTTAACCCCGAAGTGAAGAGAAGGCAGAGGTGCACATTACGGCACTTAATGCCGCTGTACAATGTAACACCCACTTTTCACTATTTATGTTATGAGTCCCATGTAATAGGGGGTGAGCCTATTGTCATATACCAGGCACATTTCCAGACTCCGTGCTACTACTGAAAAACCCACTAATAATTTGCCCGACCCTTGCTGAGGCGGTCAGAATTAGAATTATGATGCTGAATTTAGCTTCAGAACCATTGTTCTTAGGCTAAATTCTTTAGAGGAACCAGTACTCTTTTGCAGGTGCAAGTATAACTTTAAGCTTCCGTACCCATCACGAAAACGAAAATTAAAAAGCAACAAATTATTTATCAAATTAAAACCTTGCGCCCCCAGGTTCCTACGTATGCGTAGTATCTCGCGAGCTGGACGAGCCGAGCCCCAACTTCATAGTAGTGTACGACCTACAGTCAGGGACATTGTTCAAGAAGTGGAAGCCTGGATGTGACACCGTGGCGCTCGCCATCAGCTCCATCGATGGCTGCGTGGTCTCCGGACTGGCTGACACCAGGATACTTGTGTGGGATCTTGTTACTGGTTAGTGTTTTTTTAATATCTTTAGTGGTTTTTTGGTGGGGTAACACGATGGTGGGCAATGTAATAAAGATTTTTGCGGTGTATGAAAATAAAATGGGGGATAATAATTTGAAATTTTTTGCCCCTATTTATCTCCCTTTTATTTTGTCAATGTCATCAGTTTATGTTTAGAGTGATTGATTTAAAGAGTTAAGATTGAGAAGTTAATTGAAACTTTCGCGAATTTTATTACGACATATAAGATAGAGAATAGGAAGATAGGAGTTATCTTCCTACTCGTTATGATATGACAAATACATTGATGGATTTTGTTGGAGAATACACCAGACTCAATATTGGGTAGGTTCGTATAACTTCGAAACTAACATTTCTTCAACAATATTTATTTTTTCCATCAGGGAATTGCCGGCTGACACTGCGCGGTCACGTGGCAGCGCCATCTATGTTACGTCTCGCGAAGTCCGGTGGAGTGCTCATGTCCACTGACGATACTTGCAAGGATCTCTCTGTCAGGCTGTGGGATCTGCATACTGGTTAGTATTCAAAATTCACCTGTTAATTTTGAGATTTGAAGGTTAGTGTTCAATTAGGTTCTATGCATCGTCAAGACTTTAATTTACTTAAAATCATTTTCTAAAACTAATTACAAAGTTACTTACAGTTGTGTTGAGTCGCATGTATTAAGGAGTGAGGTTGCTACCATATCACAATGAGAATTTTTAAATTAGTGTCTTTTAGATAGACAAAATCACGACATACAGTATGGGTAAGCCAAAAACTACAGTGGCGCCACTTGAGAAAAATCAAAGGGCGTAATCAAAAAATAAAAAACCCTCCTCAAAGCCAACCAAGTGCTTATATCGACTGCTGCCCAAATATTATTATTACACATCTCTGTTTTACATTCACAGGCAAACTGATAGCAGTATACACACCACCGGAGCGAATAACATCGTGCGAGGTTTTACTCGGCGGTTCGGTCCTGGCCCTAGCGTTAGAAAACTACAAAGAGGTCCTATGCGTCAAACTCTATGGTCCCGCAGTAGAATCTGTGCAAAATGGCAAGGAGGCAGAATTTGACGACAGGGAATATGGCGACCAAAACTTGGAAGGGCGGACTTTCGATGTAAAAGGACTGGAAAACTCATAGCAGGTCGCACGGTAAGGTAATGGTTGGGTATATTAATGATTGTGAAAGCCACTGTTTTTTAAATTTTAGTTGTATGATGTTCAACGCAAAATTGTTAATGATACATAAGTGTCGAGACTACACATTGATAACGATAGTAATCGGTCGTTAAATTGTAAATTTCATTATTAGATTTTTAACTTTATGACAAAAGTTTAGAGTTGAAAATGTATTAAAGATAATAATTGTATCGATACGACGAAGCGACCAAGCGCGTAGTAGGTAAACATGTGGGTAATTCGATAATGACTACTGTCTGTTTAGAACCAATACTTATGCCGGAATACTGAAACGCTACTCAATTTTAAGTCGTGCTTAAGCATAGTTCTATCTCTACAAATTCTTTGTAAAATGATAGAGACGGCACGATATTTGAGTACGACTTAAAATTGAGTAACATTTCAGTATTCCGGCATTATTAGTCACATAATTATTTACCTGGCTGTTGCTCACAGTGGTGTCGTACATCATAAAGATGAATTCATAAGTATTAAGTACTATAAATACATTAGTACATATACATGTGTGCATTTGTTTTTTTTTTGCAAAATACGTATTGCTTTGTTTTAGATTTTGTTATAAACATACGGAAAACGACTTTTCAAGTGTGCAGTACTTACCTTTACTTGTTATTTATTATAAGAAGATCGCGATATAATTTTGCGTTGGACGTCAATATAAATTTGATATTATTAAAATTAAAAATACGTAAAAATAGGAAAAAAATCAAACAACATGTTATTATTGGAAAAAATAAACAATATTGTTGAGCCATAGTTTGAAAATAAGCAATCACAGTGGCTTAGGACCGCCGAGATGAAAAGAAAAAAAAGAAATTAATAAAAAAAACATCAATGTTTGATCTATTACGCTTATTAATAATTACATTATTAAAATTAAATAATTATATTGTATTTAGTGAATTCTTTATCTGTAATGTTGATGTTTAGATGTAATTTTGTGAAAAATAGATTAAGGTTTATGAATAAGTCTACGTATATTTCGTTTTTTGATCCTTTTTTCTTACTATTGCGTAATATTTTGTAGCTTTTATTCGATATTTTTATCTTCTTGGAAATGGCCAATTATTCCTAAGAGACGGTGATCATTTAATAATAAATCTATCATAAAATGTCTTCATATTATGAAAAACGGGCTGGAAGTCTCGACGAAGGTTACGGCAGAAATTGGACGCTAAATCAGGAGTATTATCAATACATTTTCAACTTTATTCTAATAGTTTATGTTTGAAAATCTAAATAATTTAAAGAAATTCTCGATTTAGTGACCAGTATCTATCAATAGCACTGTGTTATGCCAATTCAAATCCTAAGCATCTCAAGTTTTGAAGAAAATCCCGTTCCTATACTTGAGTTTTTTAGATTTGAATGATTATATATAATACGTCACCACAAATTCCGTCATTCTTCGACTCGCGAACGTAGGTAAAATAAAAAGGCTTCGAACTTGTAACTAATTCACAATCAACAAATAAATTTCATTTCAAATGATTAAAAGTAAAATTATTAATAAATATTATCTATTTCATTTGTGAAATAAGGAATAGAGAATTGTGATTATATCAGTATTTCCTTGTTTGGAGCCAAAGCTGCAGTAGTGACAAATAAAAAAAAAATTTGGCGCCAAAAGTCACCATTTTTCATCTTCCTCAACTGTCACTCCTTAAGGTCTGATTCCATTAAACATATGTACGTAACTCAATTAAATCTTTAGCTTAGTTATCACCCTTAGCATTTTATAACCTTATTATCTAAACTTTTTTATTTATTTATTTATTTCTATTTCAACTTTCACTAAAATCCTTGTAAATGCCCTCGTTTTATTTCTACTGCCATTTTATACTTCTTATATTGTAAGCAAATAGCAAATTAAATATAGGATAATCATTCATGTTTTAAATAATAATAAGAAATGCACACAATAGTTACCTATTGCACAAAATGTGTTTATTCAAATGCGCGAAATGACATGGATATTTTAAACCTTTTAAATGTTTTGGCGTGGGTTTGACCAATTGTGTCCAACTTTTGACAATATTGTGTTGACCAATGCTCTATGAAGGACGATACACCAATGTCTGGGGTGAAATTCCGACATTGATAACGATGTAACTTCGAAAGGTTAAAATATTGATGTTATGAAAACGCAGGATTTGTCATGCATTTTGGGTAAATTCTTCTAAATAAAACAGATTCCCTTCATGAACATAGTTTTGCTTAGAAGATTAATATTTATCCAAATTGCAGGCATTGTGTTACAATTTAATTTGTTAGACGTTTTGGCTGGACTAAAGCGCGTTTAATTTTAAAACTGTTTATTTTGTCCGTGGCTGTAAAAACTATATTCGACCAAAGCAATCTATTATAATATCTAGTTCGTAATCGTTTGAGCATGAGATAAGTATTCATAGTTTCTGTTTGTTAAAGCCACACCTTAACCGGAAATCGCTTTATAATCTATGTTATTTTATCTTATTGGCGTAATTTTCAAATAAATAAATTGTGCTTGAATATAAAACTAAAATAGTTTTCCCATAAATAGTAATAAAAAGCCTATCGCAATATTTATTTATTTGGTCAATTTATAAAAACCATGAATGTTAAGGTCAAGAACACAACAATGTCTACTTATCTCATTCTATATCTAAAGTTAATTGAGTAAAGTGATTGAACTGAATCTTAATGTCTTCTATGTGATTTATTTAATGTAACTTCCGCTGCCATATTTAACATCTAATTTTAAAATAACAATTTAATATTTTTAACTGTGTAAGTTAGGCCATTCACACACCAGCGACATAATCAACCTACAGATTTGATAATCTGTGGTCATAAGAATCGTGTGTGGCCAAACCTTTATTTAATTTTCAGGGTTCCGTAAATCTTTCTTTGTTTTTGTTCGTCGTCCATTTCGTCCGTCCGCAGAAGTAAGATTAATTTCGAAATACCTGGTGCATGAACAGCTTTCTGTTTACCTTATAGGACCTTCTTTAATTAATAGGATTGAAATATTTAAGCTGTTAAGTTTGCTCAATGAGTTTCGTGATGTTTTTACGGAACCCTACAAGCGTACAATTTTGTATAGCTTGCCTAGATACCTGTCGCACAAATATGAATGTTTTGATTTTTAATAAACTACAAGATTAAACATTTCGGCTACTTAAGAAACATTATTATGTTTATCATTGTTGAGACTTGAGACTCAAAATTATCTGTCGTAGAATTAAAAATCAAAATATTCAAATGTATCTATTTTAAATTAGCGCCCAATATTCGCTCGCTGGAGATAAAATATTTACGCGTCGATTCGAGCGAAAATTAATGGGACGCACTAACTAGGCGCACACCAATAAAATATTTCGAATTTCAAATCAAGAGCAGTGTTAACAATAAAAAAAAATATTTTCCTAATTGGTGTGTGACCAGTTAATTTTAAAAGAATATTTATTTTAGCAATGATATAATACTTTGTAGTGGAAACAGGCTGGTACCTGTCTTACTGATATTCTATGTTAGTCAAAGTAGCGATCAATTTGAAAAATAAAATCTAAGTGACTAATGTAATATAATCGATAAGACAACGGTGTAATCGATTGAATTGTTAAATTATTTATGTATTCTGGAAAGTTACGTATTACTTGATGTCCTGATTAAATTATTGGAAAAATATTTTGTAACATTTATTTTACTAACGACTAACACCCATATGTTATTGCTAATAAGTCCAATTATGACTAAACTGACCCACTATCTAGGAGATAGTATAGTGCACAAATGTCTGCGCCGCCAACACACGAACGCTCTATTCCTTTACTAATCCGATAGGACGACAGTGCAAAAGCATCGGTAACCCATCAGCACCTTTTGTACGACGTAGGAATGGAACCCGCGTTACGTTACACAACAGTCACTGCGCCCCTGCACCCAACCGTTAAGTCATTTAAAAGGGTATTTTGTATTTAAAATTTTCAAATCAAATTCATAGATATAGTTTTTTAAGTAATTTTATTTATAGTTAAACCATTTTCACAGCGAAATAAAATTAATACTACTCTATAACTGTTCACGTTTAGCAGGATTGGAATAGACCCTTCTTCCTCATCTCCTCGAACTCCTTCTCGGCGTCGTATGTCCTGGAATAAAAGAAAAAAAAAACATTAAGTTTAATATTTTTGAAAAAGATGATGGAACCCGTTGACTTTTTGAACCCTGCAAATGTACCGTGTTACCGTCGACATTGGCGCATAAGACAATCGATGGACTAATTCACATAGCACATACAGTTTAAAAAAATGCAGCTTATAGAATTCCTTTGCACTAAGACCAAACTCACAGAATTCTCTTATAGACTTTCATCTTTATTGCACATAAATTAATATTGAAAATTAATAAAAATTACAGATAAGTGTAATAAAATATGTTTTACTCATTATTTAAATCCTTTTCTAAACTGTATGAAATATATAAAGTTAACCCTAAGTCCCTATAACCATAATATCTCAAACAGAAAGGTTGGTCATGCTTCAATTTCAATCTTAAAAGACCAATATGTAAGTGTAAAAAATGGAAATCATCTTTTTTTTATTCATTATTGTCAGGACAATGTTTGTAGGTACACAGCCTAAATGTGCTCACTGCTGAACAATAGCTTCTTCTTACATGCATGTTCTGTGGAAAGTATGAACATCCATCAACAGATTGCTGATTGCAGATTGGCAATTTCAAACATATTATAATAATTAAAAATTATTAGTTCAGGTTTCCTCACAATGCTTTTCTTTACCATAGCATGTTGTTATTCCATCATTTATAAAAAAAAAATCTCACCTGTAGAATTCAGCGTACTTCCTCTTGCGCTCATTGCCGACGAGCTGCTTAACAGCGACGGCGGAGATGCCAGCGAGGACCAGAGACACGATCAGGTTACGCTTGATCTGAGCGTTGAGGAGGCCCCTCATCATGGGCTTGCTGGCGGTGGATACTGCTTTGTCTGCCATCTTTAATACAAATATAATTTTAATGTATTGAGTAAATTATTAGAGAATGTTAGACGCAAGGTATGGACTATATGACAATGCCTCCACTGGAAGTGTATTGATACTACATTCTATGCTACAGTAGTATTTAACAAACAATTCTATGTATTATAAACATGAAACTTCATGTTTCATCTAATGCAGTTGAAGATGACTTCACTTTTATACTACATAATTATGACTTAAATATACTTACATTGCAGAATGGAATTAGAAAGGTTAATTTCATTTACTAACTATAATCAATAAAGAGAATAGGATATTTTGTCAAAATCATCATGGATTGTTTTTATTCTCGGTGGTACCAATTCCTAAATTTTTCCTTAGTAATTAGGAAATTGAGTTATTTAAACATCTCAAATAGAATACATACATCACCAAATGGTTTTCTATAATTTTTGGGTTATACTAGGATTAATATTCTATACAATCAGATAAGCTGATAAAAGTCATCCAAAACCAAGTATTGAATTCAGAATTCTACTTTGAGAAACAAATGTACACAGATCCAATGTATAGAAGATATAGAATTCTTTAGTAAAAATATTAAAAATATCTTATTTCACCATAAAAAATACTGAAATGGGGAAAATAATTTTCATGAAGGATGGGTGTCTATTGACAACGAGCTTACATAACAGCTATTTGACGGCATTTTTTTCATAATGATCGACTATAATTAGTTTTAAACCTAAGTAAATTGTAAGTAAAAACATGAAAAACTTAATTATATAGGTGTACTTACTTTTTTTTATTTAGTTTTACGAAATTTCGTAAAGCACACGAGAACAGCAAGTGCAATTTTCAACTGATTTCTATTACAGAATTTATATATAAGATTGATAACTGTCTGAATACCTATTTGCCACTATGACGAACTTCGAGTTAACAGCCAATCACAAAGCTTAACCGTGACGTCGCGTAAAAAATTAAGATCAGTCATTGGTGAGAAAACGCAGGTCCGTTCTCAATTATTGATTTTTGCATTTGACACTCCGTTTCGTTTCACACAAAAATTACATGTATTTTTATTTGTTTATGAAGAAAATTACCCAAGCGTGAGATTGCTTTCAGTATTTGTGCATTGATAAATAAGAGAAGAATATAAATTATTGCACGTGCTCTACTGATAATACCTAAATGCTTCTAATTATGCCTGCCTCGTTGGCCGAGTGGTCGCAAGTGCGACTGCCGGGCAAGGGGTCTCGGGTTCGATTCCCGGGTCGGGCAAAGTATTACTAGGTTTTAAAAAAATTCCCAGTAGTAGCACGGAGTCTGGAATTGTGCCCGGCAATAGGCTCACCCCCTATTACATGGGACTCATAACATAAAATAGTGAAAAGTGGGTGTTACATTGTACAGTGGCATAATGTGCACCTCTGCCTACCTCTTCGGGGATAAAAGGCGTGATGTTATGTTATATATATGTATGCTTCTAATTATCCTAATTACAATTTATCTACCACGATTACCGTTACCAACTGGCTGGCAGCAGCCAGTTTAACAACACTCGTAGTTATATCTACTGATTGAGAACGAGAAAGAGCAGTAATGACCTTGGATAAGATTTTCGAGACATGGTAAAATCTTAAAGAAGTTTAGGACAAGATCAACCGTTGCCCTCCGATCGAAGCCGTAGCTGAATTTTTAGTATCTCTCAGTAATTAATTATGTTCATGTTGTTTACAAGCTACAAATTAATATTGAAATTATTTTTAAAACTTCATTATTGACTTTATACATCTCATATTGACATGTCGTGGTGGTGGAGGTTTAAGACGCTTCTCATGTATGAGCAAGCGTGGTCATTAACGGTCAAACCTCCATGTGACAGAAGAGCCCTTGCTCAGTAGTGGGTATTTATAGGCTGTTGATGCGATGTGATTGGCTCAAATATCTCTTAAAGAAGTTTATTATGCTCTTACGCAAGCGGAGCGTGCGCTCGAGCGGTTAGTGATTGGGAAGCGAGGGGGGGGGGGTGAAATAGGGATGTGCCTATAGTGTTGTGCGGCAAATGCCACGTCTCAATGCTTAAATGTAGAGTCTCTCACTCAGTCTTTCATAACACAGTTCGTTCTATCTCGACGGTTGCTCGGACCAAAGATTTCGCTGAAGATGGTTTTTTTGGCAGAAGGTGGCCGATTACAATGCTTCGATCGGACACTAGTCCTAAAGTACCTTGTCCTCGAAAATTTTATCTAAGCATTCCGCACAATGTTTAAGATTTTACAATGGGTGGGTATCTGCAGACCAAGGCCAATCCCATCCTGTCCTTCAATAAGCAACTATCCCATTACAAGATTACAAGGAGTGTATCTAACACGAGACAGTTACGTTAAGACCTCTAGTTTTTGAAAATTGCTAGGTTTTATTTCTAGCTATTTTTACAAGCAAGGATTAATAATTGACCCTTGAAGGTCAAGGTCACAGTTTAATTAGTAGACATCTTTTTACGGTGGCTCGTATGTCTACAGGGATACGAAAATACCGTGATTTTTCTAGATAGGAACTCCAGCTTTTGAGATACCTATTGTAAGATTAAAATTTTCATAATACCTACGTGGTTGTGGTCAGTCTTTAAGCCAATCTATTGTTGAAAATTCGCATACAGGGGTGTGGTCACCTAGGGGGTACGAAAATAACATAATAATTTTTGATAGGACCTCTAGTTTTTGAGATATTGCAAGATTTAGATTTTGATGTGGTCTGTGGACAAGAACCTTCTTGGAACCTGAGAAAATGATAAAAAAGATTGTTTCCAATTTCTCTTCTGCACCCTACTGCTGGCGTCCATTTTGCATAAAGTACAATACTTAGGAACTTAGATTTTCAACATTATATCAAGGCAATAAAGTAGTCTAAAAAAAGATGTCCAGTCTTGCCAGATGAGAAAAAATAATCTAGATGTCATATATAATTGATTACCAGGAGTTATCTCTATTTACTTACTAGCTTCGCCCGCCACTTCGTACGTGTAATACCATTTTTTTCCGTCCCCGTTCGTGATTTTCGGTAAAATGTAAAAAAAAAGTATTAGTTTAAAAGTATCCTATGTCGGTCTCCTGGCTCTAAGCTACCTCCCTACCAATTTTCAGCCAAATCTATTCTGCCGTTCTTGAGTTATAAGTGGTGTAACTAACACGACTTTCTTTTATATATATAGATTAATAACGATAACGAGTTTACTTCAATATCTCATTTACCTATTTGCGAGTCGATCCAAAGCCCGCACGCTCGCTTTATAATTTACAAATAATTTTAAAATGTTTGTACACTAAGCATTATGCGTCGAATCTGCAGGGTAGGTTTAGGGTAGGTGTTGTGGGAAATAAAAAATTGTCAAATTAAAACCACAAAATATTTTTTATTCATTTATTAATAAACTAACTTTACAAATTTAATAATAGCAGAACAATAATATTCCTTATTTCTCCATTCGTAATAATATGATAAATCAGCATGACTCAATCGTACTTTATATCAATATAATTTCTTCAATCGTTATAATATGTTGATAAATCAGCTTGACTCATCGTACTTTTATCAATATAATAATTATATGATTTTTAAAAATAATCTAGAAACGACAGTGAAAGCAACTTACAGAGAAAATAATGCACAATATAAAAGTGAACTTCATAAAATTGCCAGCAACGAAAAATAATTACAGGCATCGTTTATCATTGACCTAAATTGATTCCCCGCGGCGCTTGCCGCCCAACGCGAACTAGAAAAAATATTACGAATAACATAAAGTTAACTTTATTGTATCAATTCTTTCATTTTACTATTTCTGCATGTATTTACAAGTTCCATAGAATGTAAACAAAACTATAACCTACTCTCGTGGTGTAACCCCTAAACTATATTTATAAGTGTTATTAAAACTATTTGTATTTCTCTTTCTTCATTGTAGATATATAAACGTACAATATAGATATTTATTTATCGGCATAAATTACTATCATTAGTCGAAAATAAAAACAAAACAAAATAAACTAAAATGATAACTATACACCCAATATACACAGCTAGTTGAGAGTTCATTCACTATAATTATATGGTACAAGCTTGCAAGTCATACTTTTATATTACAGTATAAGGCTTTTTGCATGTCTACAGGACTCGCTCCGTCCGAGGAGCGATTCGCTAGTCTCCACGTCTATTTACACGCCACTCCCCAAACTAAATATGATTTTAAAAGAAAACAAGTACTTAAAACGTAACATATATTAATATCCCCATCTATACATAAACATTTACAAGAGATTGTACATCGGCCGGACCGATTTAGTAATGAATAATTTAAGAAAAACAAAGGTTTGTTACAAAACACTCCCACCGTCCGACGCCGACAGACTAGCCGCATCTCTATACACTAATTGTTTAACAGACACAATACCACGGCACACAGTTATAGGGCACAATTTATTCAGGCAATAAATTCATTACTAATTATTAAAATATTTTCTCATTATATACTACGTACGTACTATACACGTTATGTATTGTAGCACTATCACTGTCCGACTAACATTGAACATCTTCGAAAGAGGGAGAGGGGAACAAACAATGACTTCGGGACAAATTATACAAATACTGTAATGTACGGCGATCTAAGCTAACAGTGTAAAAGCTGTCTAAAACTGTGCTTTAAATAAACGTCACATCCAAATATTATTGCTCTTGGGTTGTATCCCTATACACAGGAACGAAACAAGTCTACCGAACCACAGATGCCTACAGATGTTGTCGATCTCACAATTAATTTATTACCGACCGATATTTCTCGATTACATAACGATAATCTGTAGGACACCCCATGTCGTCTTGTCCACCATTTAATTTAAGTTTTGTCACTAATTTATTACATTATTATGATTTTGTCCTCAAATTGTATATTGCAAGGTTCAATTTAGTTACAACCAATTATTAATATTATTTATTATAAATGATGAACATTAAGGCGAGCCAATCCGAAACACCACATTCCTATACTCAAGTGTTCAAAAACCGTGATAAAGAAACACTAGCGTCTATATTAGATAACTAAATTCATTCGATAACCAACTATGCTTAGTGCGTAGTACAAGCTAAGATTCACTGGTTCATTATCTATGGGTTTGGTGTAAAATCTTGGGATTCAAATTATTTCAATTAATGGTGGGAATACGGGTCGACAATGGAAGGAAAACGAAATAAATGGGGCGTCAAAATAAAATTTTAGTTTTACTGGAAGCCCGAACAGACAAACTGTTAAAACATTCAGTCGCGATTATTATCTCATTCACTAAGAAATTATCAAGTTCCACATTTAATTACAATTATTGGTCGTGAATTCTCTTAAATATAAAAACGCTAACGTTTCGTCGTAATAGCGGCCAGCGTTTTGTGCGGGAGCACGGCGCCGCTTCAAATTGAACCTACCACCGATATACTCAGCTATTTCAAATATACGCCGAACACCGATGTCACTTGGTCGAATTTTCATATTATATTACAAATAAAATACGCCGTGCTCCCGCCAAAACATAATAAAAACTACAACGTTGCGTTCACGTCACCGATCGACGTCACGAAGTTACGTGCAAAAACGTATGAAAATATTTAACTTTATGCATTTATTTCATTCTCTTTATATCTCTCGGGTATTTATACTATTATAACAATGTGCCTAAACGTCGAGTGCATTTTGTACAATAATGATACACATCTATTCACTAGTAAACTAAGGCTCTCCACGGCGCAAACTCCACGGAGTCTTGCTGGTGGCAACGTTTCAAGTTCCCGCGCACGCTGTTTTACCATTGTCATTAGTCGATTCGTCAACATCACTATATGTACCTATGGTTACTAAATTCTGTATAACTACAACTTTGTTTTAATTGATACAATCGGCTAATCGCAATGTTAAAACGAGCACGTTAGCTTCCACACTTATAGACGAACACGCTTAAAATTACTTGATAGAAATAAACTTACACTTAAAAGAACAAAAAGTCGAGTGTTTTATAGTGAAATGGTAACATTTGTTCACTAAAAATAAATGATGCCAACAGTGTGACTGTCGGCATTTGATTGGGTCCGGCGTAATCGATTCAACGTATCGCAATCGATAAATATCAATAGATTAGGATTGCAGGACGGATTTAGGAAGAATTAATTTTAGAATAGATTTCGTCGTTGTGTAAGTTATGGACTGTATAGATTATAATATTTAAGCATGCCAATCAATTGATATTAATATTTACTTGTCGCACCCATTTATTTACCTACTACTGTTTTAGATATAGTATGTTTTATCGTAGACGCATTAATGTACATGTGAGGATAAAATACAACTATTCTAAAATTAATTTAGCTAAATCCATTTCTATTCCCGACCAATTGGAATAGAACAGTTTTGTACAAGCGACGACCACACAGTCATTTAATGTATTTATAAACACATTCTCATTTATTGTATTCGAGTGTACAATACAATTTGAATAAATAAATAAAATTCACCAGATTTATCTAGTTTCCATAATATATTTTAACATTATTATTGGTATAAAATTATTAATTCATATTTTGACCATTTCATTAATATTAGATGATCATTTTCGTCAAGTTCCGTGGTCGCCGCTTGTACGAAGCAGTAACAAAGAGCGGCCGCCGACACATCCGACTCGATACATACACATCTACAAACATTTCATGTTAACTCGTCAACACAGTACTCCTCAAACGTTAGTATTGCAATCTTACTACTCCTCACACTTTGGTGTTAATTCACAATTGATTTAATTAATTGAGATTCATTAAAATGAACAATTACCAATCGCGGATTAGTGCAAATCATTTCGGATTAATTTTTAACTCTCAACGTATTTTACAATTTAGTTAATTTTAAATACATATCTATGATCGTGACCCAAACTGGTATCAAATAAAGATTGAATAGTTTTACAAAGGCGGGCGCGACCCGTCACATGGCTTCTGACAACGCTCTGTGTTCATGTAGTCGTAGGGACCGTCACAAGTCGTACTAGTGTAGTTCGGTGCGCAGTGTCGTGCGGAGACTGAGACAGCGTTACCTAGCGCGGGGCTCACGCCTCGCTCGCCCCGTACTCGCACGCCTCGCTGGGCTCGCGGGGCTCGCGCGGCTGGCGGGGCTCGCGGGGCTCGCGAGACTCCGCGCGGCGCCGCCGTCACTTGTCTTTGGAGCTGCGCCGCCGCCGCACGCCCGCCGCCGCACCCGCGCCCTCGCCCACTGCACACACAAACATACCAGGTCAGTACTGTACGAAGTAGCCTAGCGTGCCAATGTGTTGGTCTCTGTATTGATAAGGGACTCACCAGCACTGCGAGTTTTGCGTCGTACGGGTGCAGCCCCGGGCGGGCCGGGAGGGCCGGGTGCGGGCGCCGGACCGGGAGGGCCCGGGGGCGTAGGCCCGTGTCGCACGGAGCGTCGCGTGCCCACGGCCTCGGGGGCCTTGGTGGGCGCCCGCGGGCCGCGCAGCTTGGTGGTAACCTTGCCCCGAACCTTGCAGATTAGAGGCTCGTCGCTGTCGCTATCGGAGTCCTTGCGCTTGGCGGGCTGCGCTGGCGCGGGAGGTGCGGGGGCGCGAGGCGCGTCTCGTCGTGGTTTCTTCTTGGGGCGCGCGTCGTCGTCCGCGCTGAGCGTGGAGGCACCCGAGCTCTCGGACTCGCGGCGGCGGCGCTTGGCGGGGGGCGCGGCGCGAGGCGGGGGCGCGGGGCGCGGCGAGGGCGCGCGCTCCAGCTTGGCGAGCGCGGGCGAGTGGCGCGGCGTGCGCGGGCGCTCGGCGGGGCTGCTGAGCTTGCTGCTGGACCGCGTGCGCACGCTGCTGCGCGCGACCCGCTCCAGCGCGGACGGGGAGGGGGACTCCGGCCTCTTGCCCGCGTACTCCGGCGTCGGGATCTCGATCAGCAGCTGTTCTAATAGACTCTTATCCGGAAAGTCCGCCTTCAGCGGTAGTCTCTCTAACTTAGGTTCGTGCTTCTCATCTGTTTCGCCTCGCTCCGTGCTCGCGTCGCCGTTCTCCGTCCTCTCGGGGCGTTCCTCCTTGACATCATCGACGGGCCCGAGTTTCTCTTGATTAGAGTATGTATAGAGTGGCGGTGACACCCTGCTGGGTGGAGGATCGAAGTCCTCTAGTTTGACTTTATCCCGCAGCGGCGAAGTGTCGGCGCTGTCAGGGCGCGAGGTATCGGTCGTCGTGGTGGCGGAGGGCTGGTCCCGTGTAGGCGCGGATTCGTCCCGCAGCGCGGGGGGCTCGTCCCGCAGTATGGGGGTGGGGGGCCGCGCGGGGCCGGGCGCGGGGGGAGGGGGCCGGCGCGGGGCGTCGTCCCCGTTGACGTGGTCGGCGTGCATCTTGGCGAGCTCTGCCTCAATGTCGCCGAGGTCGTCGATGTCTGGCGGGCCGGGCTCGTACCGCGGCGGTCCCGCGGCGAGCGACAGTCGCTCGAGGAGTTCGTCGGAGGCGGGCGCGGGCTCGATGACTCCGATGATGCGCTGCACGGAGGCGGGGCTGGTGGAGCGCGGCATATCGAGACGTTCCTTGCGCTGCGGCCCGGGCGGGGACTGGCTGGCCTGATTGGGGGACTTCTCCGACAGAGCGTCCATGGACTCGATGCCGGAGTCCTCTCCCTGCGCTTGGCTGGCGGGGGAGCGGCTGCCAAACTTGTCTGCGTCAGGTCTGGCGGCACGCTCGGCCACCAGTTTGCAGTAGGACTTGTCCTTGGGCCGGTCCTTGCGGCGCGGTGACGTGGGAGGAGACTCGGCGCGGCTCGTAGGTATCGTGCCGACGTTTGTCGAGCCCGGAGGTTCTGTAATAAAGCACTACGTTAATACTCAAACTACAATAAAGAGAATAATAAAAACAAAATTGGGAACTACGATAACATTAAAATTTAATATCTTTTCATAGCAAAAAAGGGGATATTCAAGTATTTGTTTAAGAAATACAAAAAATATTCAAAGTTAAATTGTTTTTGTTTGGTATAAGGCTTGACAACTTAACTATAACTACATGCACAATTCTTGTTCATCTAATAAGTTAATAATGTAACTTATACTAAATAGAGTTAATGATCCGCCTGCGGTTTTGTTTAGTATCATATCGTTTGGTTACCTTAATGGTATGATCTTCTGTTTAGTTCACAATTCATGCACACAATACACTGTCATAAAATAACTCTGTAATTCTTCAGTTAGGGATTGTTATTCTCAAAGATATAGTCTTGCAATATATACTCTATATTTGTGACCCACTGTAAGAGTGACAGAGTTATTTGAAGCATACAGAAATGTTTTAGGTACTCACATTTACACTTTCGAGTTAGTCCAACGAGTTTCAAGTAATTAGGCGGCGGTATCGTGATTCAAACGACTTTTGCGACAGAACAATGAGTACCTCATAAACAGCACTTAATGAGATACCTCTACTATGTTCTGTGTTCGTTTCTTTACATCTCACATAATATTCTTTAACATAGTTGAAACATTTGACTGACCTGTACAGGAACTGTGGCTGACCTTCCTCTTCTTATCAGAGGTGAGCAGACCATTGGGTGAGGTAATAGCACTTTCGGCGATTGTCCGTTTCAACTTATTGTCATCTTCGGCAACGCGCCGCGACTCCACGAAGTGTTGAGAGTCGGACACGTCGCCACTAAGCGTCCACTCGAGGTCCTTATGACACTTGATCAACCTACTACTGTCCAACTCACTAGCACCGGTTTTACTTTCACTATCCACGTCTGATTGCACTGTTTTCCCCTCTGACTTGACACTATCACATTTCACTTCTGTTTTAGGAGTAGGTAACTTCTTCTTGGCGTCGTGATTGTTCGGCTCTCTGTAGCCCTCGTTTTGCGCGTACTTCCCTTCTTTGTCCAGCGTGTCATTCCTCCATTCCTTGTCCCGCTCCTTGTCTGAAGACTTCCCACTCTCATTGAGTATTTTTAGTTTCTTTTTCATTTTTAGGTCTAAGCTCTGCACCTTGTTGTTCAGTTTGTTATAGTCGTGTGACTTGGTCACGATGTGAGCGTTCTTAGAGATAGTTTTCATTCTGTACACGACGTTGTTGTCGCCCGTGATCTCTGTCTTCACGGCGTCGCCCTCGTAGTGATTGTTGAGCTTCATGCCTTTCGCATTTAAATACTCTTCATCAGTCTTGTTCTCAGTGCTTTCACTAGATTTTGAGGCTATAGACTCCTCAGAGTCCCTCCTATGTGACTTGTCATCTGATTCTGAAGATTTCCTGATTTTAATCTTCTTTGTATGCAAGTCACCAGGGCCAAACTTTTTCTTTTCCTTTTTCGAGTTTTTTATCACGGCGGAATTCCGCCCTCGAAGGCTTATATGGAGAGGCGGGACCCTCAGTTCTCCGTCGATTGGCTTGTCGCCTTTTTGTTGGTTGACAAAGCTGATGTCTGCTTTGTATACTGTTTGGACTGCTGGTTCATTCTTGTCTAGTTTTAGCCTGAGTTTGATAGATTCTTTCTCAGTTTGTGGGGACTTGGGTGCGTCTATCGCGGGTGCAGGGAGCTTTAGGGGCGAAGGGCGTGATAAGGCAGCTTTGGTGGATTTGTTGTCTCTGACGATCTTGTCTTTGAGCGTGGCGGGTTTCTCTTTAGCGCCGACAGTCCGGGGCTTTCCGCCTTTCTGTGCGAGTTTGTCGTCTCGATCTTTCTTGACCAGCTTATTTCTCATTCTGAGGTCATCGTCAGGTCTCCGCGGGTCGTCGTCTGTAGTCGACGACTTCGCGATACCGAACATTTCGGGTGCGGCTTCTACGGCTTCCTTTACTTCGCAGTTGGCGACCGTCACCTCTTCGACTTTCTTTTCCTGTTCTTTCGGCGGCGGCGGTACATCATCGTCCCTCATGAGGGTTTTGATGAGATACTGTTTGCTCTGCTCCTCGATCTCCTGCGCAGAGGCCTGCGAGCCAACAGTGGCGGTCGCTACCGACGTGGTCGCCCTGACAGGCAGCTTCAGAGGGGGAGGCATGGCCTGGCTGGCACTGGAGGGCGGAGACTTGAACGCGGCCGTCGCATTCTGCAGGTGAGGCGGCGCCGGCGCGTGCTGCGCGGAGCTGTGCGCGTGCGCGCCCTGCAGGCCGAGCGCTCCCAGCGGGCTCTGTGCCATCGCGTGCGCGGAGTGCGCGCCGTGCGGGGAGTGCACCGCGTTGAGCATGTTGTGGTGGAGAGCATTGTGTGTGTGTTGCGCGGTGGCCTGCGAGTGTATCGCGTTGGGCGGGTGCATGGAGGGCGGGGCGAGCGCGGCCGCGGGCAGCGACTGCGGCGGCGGCGCGGGCTGCGGCTGGTGCACTGGAGACTGCACGTGCTGCCCCGGCGACGGCGTGCTCGGCGCCGACTGATGCTCGTTCTCGGACTCTTGTCTTCTGAACTTATTAGAGTGGTGCGGCACGGGAGGCGGCGGCATGAAGGTGTCGGCTCCGTCGAAGGAGTCCGACTTAGAAGGCACGTCGTGGCGTTGCGGCTCTGTATAGGAGCCCGGGTACTGGTCGCCCGTGATGTCCTGGAGCACGGAGTCGGGCGTGTTGTTGTGCGCGTTGTTCCCGGACAACAACATGTCGAGCTTGGCGCTAGCGTCAAGCTCGGAGATAGCGGAGAATGCGCTCTCGTCCAGGTTGAGGTCGTCACCCAGCGTCGGACCGATGAGGTGTTCCAGGTCGCTGTCCGGGAGCTCCAGCAGCGCCAGTGAGTCCCGGTAGGGCTCGTTCCAATCGGGCTGCGAGGTCGCGCGGGACGCTGCGCGCTGCCGCGCTATGTATTGCTGTTGATACCTCTGGAACTCCTGAAATGTGCACAAACAACATGATGAGTCAATTTATCAGTAAAAGGTAGATAAATTACACACTTACTATACACTTAGTTTACTTTACGTGTAAAGATTTCATGAACACATTATCCAGTTAACATACCATATAAGTTTAAATGAGGTCTCACCTGGAAGCTAGACTGCGTCTTTTGATCCATGGAAGCAGTGGGGGGCGGCAGTAGCGCCTGCAAATCCTCAGGCGTGACCCGAGAGTGCTGCGCGTGCTGCGGCGGGGGTGCGAGGGGAGCGGGTGGCGCGGGGGGCGGGCGGGGCCGCGCGCCACCCTGCCGGTATGGGGGCGGTGGCGGTGGCGCGGGGAAGGACACCGCGTAACCTGGGCCGGGCAATCTTCCACCCGAGACCCCCGCCACGGCCCCCGCCCCCGTGCCTGCCACTTGCACGCGGTAGGCAGCAGGCGCAGCACGTCGCACGAATGTAGGAGGCCGTGGACTGGGGCGCGGCGCGGGGGACGCGGGCGGGGTGCAGGGGCCCGCCAGTGGGGACCGCACGGGCCCCGCCATGGGGGTCGGAGTGCGTGCCGTCCGGTACTCCGCGAACGGTGGACGACCCACTGCTAATTCCACCTGCAAACACAAATGACAATCATAAGTACAATTTTATGAAGTACCAACTATGAAACGAAAATTTACGATAATATTCTCATTTACGAAAGTCTGTATATTTTTCATTACTTGACTAACCTGTCCATCTTCAAGTCGATCTAGCTTAGCTGGATGCTGCGGCGGCTTCGGCCTGGGAGAGGGCGCGGCCGCATCGTTTTGCAGTAAGTTGACAAGTAGCGGGGAGGACATGGCGACCGTGGGAGGCGTAGGGGGTGGACCAGGGGTAGTCGGGGTCGTAGGGGGCTGGGGGGACGCCGCGGGGTATGGCGGCGGGGGGCCGGGGAACGCTGACGTAGACGGTCGCGCGAACGGACCGTCCGCTTGCGGCCTTATACTGCTTGGAGGACCCGCTAGTCCTGGAATGTACAATTTAGAATTAAGTATTATGTGCTTTGGATGTAAAACAAAATGTGTATAACAAATTGTGTGATTTATATTAACATTGGATTAAGAAACTTTACTGTAACAGTTGTAACTGTAAAGAGATTTTGTTGAAAAAAATGTAAAGAACAATTGCAATAAATAAGAGACCAAATTCAGTTACGAACTCACCCATGGTATTCTCCTTGCGATGTATGACCCTCGCTTGCGTCATGCTGCCGAAGGGGAACTCGCAGCGGTCGGTGGTCGGCGTGGGAATGTTGTGTGGTATCTTGCCGTCCATGGGACACACGGTGTTGGGGGACTTGAAGCTGTCGGGCGGCGCCGCGGCGGCCGGCGTCTCCGTCGTACTACTGCTGCTCGCGCCATCCGACTCGCTCAGTATGCGACCGATACCGCCCAAACCAGCTAGTAGTTCCGCGTTTGGTTGCGATCTTGACGTACTTGCATCTATAATGTTGGTTTTATGGACTCAATAAGCTATGAATAATAAAAGTTTAGGTGATATTCACCTAAACTTTTTCATGTATTAGGTTGTTAAACAATATGAATTGGAGTATCAAAAAATTATCAGATCTCATGTTGAGACTATTTTTTTTACTCTACAACTTGATTTCACGAACTCTAAACCTTTGCCAAAATGCATGGTTATAGCTATAGCTAGATATGTCTTTAATTTTCAAACAAGTTCAAAACATGCATGAGGTGCGTAAGCCTCGGGAGATAGCTTATGGGAAAATCTATGAGAAAGTAATTGAGCCACTTACCATCAGGGTCGGTGTTGATCCTGAGTTCGGCGCCATGTTGCAGTCGCAGTGACACGGCGGCGTCACCGTCGAGCTGCACGGAGAGGATGCCGAGCGCGCGAAGCTGCGGCGCGCCCGCCGCCGCCAGCGCACGCAGCCGCGCCGCCGCCGCGCGCGGCACCGACAGCGTTACGCGCACCGAGTTCCAAGGCTCCACCTATACAACAACAACAAACAACACTAAACTAACATACTGCTAAAATGTTGTAGATTATGCTTCAAAATCAAACCAACTCGGCCGAGGTGATACCACGACCTTACAAAAACCGGCGTTCAAACAACACTTGCGTTGTGTGCAGGTGTGACTAAGGTTTATACAGGAGACGTACTCCTCCGCCTTCTATCCGCAATCCTCAAATTACTAACCCTAAAAACTTCAAAATGGCATTTCAGGACTGTCTGTCGTTCAGTATAAACTCGATAAAAGCAAAAACTATGATATTGAGATATGTGTTAATTACATATAACTATAGGTTTGACCACGTGGGTGAAGCCACAGCCGAAAATCTAGTCAAGTCATTTCAATTTTTGAGTTTGACACTTCTAAAACATTTCCATAAAATTCTATCGGAAAAACCATAAAACGCCTATCATAATAATTTGTGCTCTTTTATAAATAACGAAAATTATTAAAAAAACGACGTAAACTATCCCATTATAAACACAATAAGGCATACAAGAATACTTTTTTATTATATTGGACAGGAACACTTCCACTTAGAGCCTCTTCAAGCATAGATTAACATAACAATAGAGAATAAACTATTAAACTCGATGTAAAAAGAAACGCATTAGTCAACTAGGAAGTGTCGTTTGGTCCGGGAGAAACCAGCACGTATGGTGGGCACATAAAAATTTTGTAGCTGATTGGCTGAACCCGCCCAAATAGCTTCGCAAACTTAGCTTTTATGACGAAAACTCGCAGGCAATTTTATCGTGAATAGTACATTTAAGTCGTTCGTGGCCCGCTTTACAACAAGGACGTATTAAACTTTGGTACGACTATAAATATACACATAGGAAAGGAAACCCTATTCTAAGTATGGATTAAGCAAAAAATACGCCGTATTTTCTTTTTTTTTTGTACAAAAATCTGCATAAACTACGTTCAACTTTGACATTTACCGGCATAATTTCTATGCTATAATTTAATTGAGTAGGTAAATTTATTCAAAATCTAATTTTTGCCACGGGGTTTATATTGATAGCGCAATAAAATTGATTAATAAACTTATTGGAGATAGAATGAGCAAGGGGGGGTCGTTGCGTGTCTTCTAATGATGGCGGCAGATTTAATTCTTCGAAATGATAAAATAATCTTGAATTGGTATTAATTAGAAAGGTTAAGTTCCGATGACCGGCGCTTGACGAGCGTTTTGCCCCATAGCTTCGTTTGCGATTTTATTTGCATTTATCGGATCGTAAGTCATAGTTGCGTATGCGCAGATAATCTGTATTTAATTATCTGTTTGATTTAGACTTATTTTGTGATCTATAGATACATTATATTATACACTTTTGTTTGTTCATCATAAGTAACGAAAACACAACAAAACGTTATTTCGCAAGAAGTTACGAATCGCGTGTTTATTAAGTTATTTGTATAAGTATTAAAATGTCGACAAGTCTTTGAAGATACGACACCGAAAACTATGTATGTACATTGCGTTATTTTATACGTAAGTATGTGGTTCTTTTATGGCTTCAATCGGAAACCGCCCTCAGCAGTAACTTTAATTACGAAAATTAAGCTTACGTGTTATGTAATAAATACGGGGATTGTCCTTGAAATGTATCTATTAATACTAAATTAATATATTTTCCATCATTTTAGGATGGCAAGCAAGACACAAAAATGTTTATTAGACGGACCGAATAAAAGTCAACTAACATTTGTGATATTTTTACATCACCTTTATTTTGCTGAATCGTGCACGACGCGAATAAAATATTATTCTGCCTTTAGGAAAAAATCTTTGTGCGTTCGCTAATCCAATTATAGAGAGAATAAATTATTTCACTTCACTATGACACTCAGAAACAGCACGCAAGTGAAGATCGCGTTAATACTCTATGATCTGTAATCACCACAGATTATGCATGCTATGTTTGGCGCCAAAATAAACGTCAATTCAGATGAATTGTAGAATATAAAATGTACTATTGACAATGTTTCGAGTAATACCGTTTCACCAGGTGATTCAACAACTTGTGTAATAATTTTATGAATTTTCACAGCAATGCTATTCTTGTGCAATTTCACTGGTAATCTCATTTAATTTTTAGTATTGCACAAGATAAAATATGAGTCTAAAATAAGAAATTCCAACAAAACAAATATTTTTAAAACCCTTAAATGTATTATTATTTATCTTAAGTAACCGGAAGACAATTTAAAAACAAGGAGATGTGGTCAAATGATTATAAAAAACAATATGATTAAATTGAAAGCAGTGGATTAACTTGCTGGTGTCTAAACTTCTCGTAACTTAACTAGTAATACTGTGTCATAGATAAATTAAGATAGAGAATGAAAGAGCATCATAACACCTGTAGAATCACCTACAAAATCATATCTTATTTGTCTATAGCATTTGCTGTTGTGGGTGTGCTGGAATAAATTCTAATTCCAACTAGGAATTAAACAATATCTCTCTACCTGTTGCAGTCAAAAGTACTTTTCTAACTTAACTATAAAAATGAAGTAATATCAAACTGCTGCTATTTCAGTCTTTGAGATTTAAACTTTTAAGTAAGGAACCTATCAAACCTCTCCTTGAGGTGCCCGTAACTTTAGAATGTCTTTCTAATTTGACTGGTCAAGCACTTTTGACTGAAGAGTTCTGACTACAACATATGCAATTCCTACATTTTATGACTTAGGTACGATACAATATATTTTTCTTAAGTTACCTTGTTGACTTTGAGTGTGTGCGGATGCGGCTCGGCGAGCAGCGCCCGTAGTTCGCGCAACAATCGGCGCAGGCGCGCGGGAAACCGCGGGTCGCGCAGGTCGCCCTCGCATGTCACCACCACGCCGCACGACCCGCCGCCCGCCGAGCCTAGCCCATCGCTGTCCGCTGCCATGCTGAGGATGACAAACTTATATTACCACCACAATATAATCACATTTATTTATTTTCTTGTAAGTCTAAATTTTAATGTAATGAGAATAATACTTTACAGTAAACACTGTGAATTCTTCTCATTCTTATCATATAACATTAAATATTAAGACTATTGAAAATTTGGACCCATCCCTAATATCTTTGTTTAAAAAATTTCGATGAGGGCAAATTCAGCCTTAAATAAAAAAAATAAAAAAATGCACCAATATATTATACAATTTAAAAACAAGATAACAATAACATATATATTTTCTACATTATTGATGAAATACTCTATTAAATATTGATGAATTGCAGTAAGCAAGATGAAATACTCTTTCTTAACACTTATTTTTTTTTCTATGTGTAAAGTTTATCTTTCATTATTAAAAGAAAATAAAATTTTCTAAATGGCTAAATAAAGGTTAACATCCACTAAAACAGCACCCATAGACAATAAAAAACCATAAACTTTACGCGCGACGCGGTATTCTTTATCGTATAATATAAACCGCGCGTACGCAACGGCACACTAGACAGAATCGCGCGCAAACGCGACGATACAAAGGTCGCGCGGTCCACAGATTTATGACTATGTAAAAAAAACCTCTAGTATTAAAAAAAATCTTTAATGATACTGTAAAATGCAGCTGTTTTTCAAGAATACTAAAGATTTTTTTTGTGTCATAAGTTTGACTAAAACAAATTTTAATGGTGATAAATTGATCAATTTCAAAAACTTTAAAATATGCAAACTTGCTTTCTTTCCTAACCAACTTGGCTAAAGAGGTTATGTATAGTATTATTTATTTTCGTTATCATTGCAATACTTAAAAACTACTTAATTTGATAAAAGAAATATTAATAAAGCAAGCACATTTATGAAACTGTTGACAAAGCAATATTTACTTATGCATAGTACACATATTTCAGGAGCAACACAAAGTTTATTCTCAACTTTAACTTATAATATTACTATATTACACATCAACACTACATTAAAATAACAATTAGTATATTACAATATACATAAAAAACATTAAATAACTTGTACTATGCAGGTGGAAAGCACTTGAATCACCCCAACCACCTGTTACTCTTCCCACATGCCAATAGGGGTCAAAGTAAGCATAGATAAAAACAGTATTTGTCATAAGGACTTTTTTGATGCAAGAAAAGACTTATTAAAGTAATAAGCATTTGTGAATGTTTCAGAAAATAGGCAATAATTTTTATGCTATAATTATAAATGTATGATTTCAAAATGCACTTTTATATTTCAAAGTTTTATTCAAACTTGAACTACTTTCATTTAGTTTTTCGTTGACCCTGGTTTCCCCGACTAGGAACTTTTTGGACATCAACCTCATCAATCAACTGTGTTTATATTTATGCTCTTTACACTAAACATATCATAATGTTCATAATCCATTATAAAGATATATTCATCAAGTAATATTAATTATCAACATCCTTTTACAATATTTTAAGTTTAGAAAAAAGTTGAGAAATTAATTGGATAGGTCAAGGAAAACCAAACACAATGGCCCATAATTTGGTACCCTAATATTTTCCTTAAGACCAATCTGAAATTATCTATAACAGTAAAATTATTATTATTTTTATACCAATTAAAACTACAATCATGTAGAAATGACATCACAGTTTACATCATAGTATGATAAGCAACTTATACTAATGTTATAATTGCGAAAATTACTTTGTCAGTCTGATTGTTGCTTGGTGGTAAGTTCGTAACTATTAAACCAATTTTTATATGATAAAAATTTGTTGTAGATATAGTTTAAAACTTAAAAAATTGTAATTAATGTGTGTAGGTACTTATTTCCTATGAACTTGAAGATTTTGGTCAAGTATTAAGAAAATACTATGTTGATATAATCAAATATTAGTATTATGAAAATTATAGTAATGCTCTACAACTGATTTTTTTCTTTATTTTACTACGGCAATCTACAATGATGACACATATCTCACATTATCACTTATATTGCTTTCTCATTAAGGTTTAATTCATGAAATAATTTTATCAAATCAGCTGTTCGTTTTGCTAAGAAACACACATATTCAAGGTCACAAACAGAATTTGTCAATGAAATCTATGTTGTAGGTAAATATTCATAACATGTTGAGACTATGCATCCAAAAATATCTTTTTCCCTAAAATAAAACTGCATTCTAATAGGAAATTAACTACTTTACATGATAACATCATAACTGTAACTATTTTCAATATGGAGTCTGATGTAGAGGTGTTGTAAATATTTTTATTTTTTAGATAAGTCTGCTGTACTTTTTTGTTTAAGATTTTGTTGATTTGCTTGATCTATTAAATTATTGACTTCTTTATTGTGTTGTGTTTTATTTGGTAATTAGTTTTTCATTTTGAGATTTATAACTGTTACAATTTAAATTAAGTTACTTTAAATAAATACCAACTAAAGGCATACTATTCAATTGGAGATTTTTACCAATAAGAAACTCTGTGTTTAGAATTTCACTATATCTAAATTAATAAAACTGAAATATTATCCTCGTACCACCACAAAATACTATCACTACAGTAAAGTTATGAGAAAATCATTAAATATTATTCTTATCATGCTTTTGCAAGCAATCTTTAACTACACACAAAATACGTAAACATGCTGATATAGAGGCTTATCTCATTACAGTGTAACCCAACCCTTATTTAAAAAAAACTACTTGCTCAATGGTCATAAAATTTCTGGACTATAGATAGTGGAGTAAATGTCATTAGAAATGAAAATTACAAATCTCTTTTGAGAATACAATCAGTTTATTTATTTGTTGATTAGAATTTAGTTAATGGAATGACACATTAAATATATTTATTCTTTGTATAGTACTTTCATATGTCAATATTTAGAAATAAATGTGAGAAAGAGAGAGGAAGAAAGAACCAAAAACTTAACTTAAAACTTTGAAACTAGAAAGTTCAGTGTAATGAAAAATGGATAGGTTTTTTTTGGAATGAATTATGGTTAGTTATTTTGGAAAGTAAAAGTAAACTAGTGATGTTATACTGCCATTAAAAACTCATTGTAATATTCCTGTTACATTTTATATTAATAATTAAGTACCTAATTATTAACAGTTGTGTGTGAACACCATAGATTAAATATAAAAAAACGAAACAAAATTATTCATAGATATAAAACAAAACATGCCATTTTAATTACATATCAATTAAACCCTAGCAACAACTAAGTTCTATGATTAATTACTCATAATGCTTATCACTTTCGATAGTTATGGTTTTAATCAACTTCCTAAGATTAAAGGATGTGGTTTACTGAAAGTTTGCTAAATGTGTTTCTATTTCATTAAAAATTATTATCTAAATATAAATAATATTACTTCATTGTTATTTTTAAGTTTAATTAGAACTTTATTGGATTTAACACTTATGTACAGTAAAAATCTATAAAATGTATTTAATGTCAATAAAAACAAAACTTATAAAGTCAAGGAAAGTTAACATTTATTTATTTTCATGTTTCAGACAAAAATATTTAATACACATAGAGGATCATTTGTGGCTGATGTAAACTAAAAATTAGTTGCATAATAATAAAGTAATATTTACAAAAATGTAATGTTCTACTGTATAACAGTAACTTCTAACAAGCAGGTTGTATATCTCATCTCAATCTAACAATAATCCATCATGTGTTAATCAAATAGGTTATGTGTTTTGTCTATGGTACTATTTAATTGTTAATGTTTTGATTATTACTACTCATTGTCCCTTTATTGCCTTAAAATCCACTATCTACAATTACATTGTAATATTGTATGCAAAGATGTTGTGTTGTTGAGTGCATTGGTGAACTGTTAACCTTTTAACACACATTTGACAGTTTGCACTATTTGCAAACAATAAAACGTAATAGGACGAAAATAACAATATCGTGTTTGTAGGAAAGAGTAGCTCATCGTGTACAGGTACACAGCCTTCAGAGAGCATCCCACTCGGCGTGCGTACAAGCACAACTACGTATCGACAACACGGCGGCATGTTACACAACTACTAAAAATCTAATACTGTGACACTGCCGCCGAGTTTTTCGGCTGTAATCGGCGCTTTCAGGCGGCCGTAGCGCGGGGCACGTCTTCGCCGGCCGACCGACGTCCTGTCACCCACCAATGTGTCCATTTTGTAATGAACATTGCACTACCCAACACCCCGCCGAATGTAAATAAACTAAAAAATTACACTCACCTCTCATACAATGTCACATTCCGCTCAATTCCACACAATTTCTATTCCCTTGTGTCCCAAATCATGATGGAAAATCAAGCGCAACATTACCGTCCGGCTCGGACGCAAAGCAATATCGTTCCTATGGTCAGTGTCCACTCTACACCAAAAACATATGACACACCACTACTGTCCGGGTCCAGGTGCTCCCGGAAAACTGTCCGGGACTTATTTTTGCTTTTTCACAGACGATCACACGACTAGAATCACTACAATATCACCACGGGTCGAATTCACTGAATTATATTCCAGTGACGCAAAGCTCATATATCGTGAAGAGCAGCAGCCATTTTGAAATGTACGGGGAGAACAGTCACAGCATGGAACATTCGTAAATTACAGCCGCTCCCGTCTCTTGCTACACTCTAATATTGGAGTGATAGTTGAAAAACTTTATGCAGTTTCCATTTTAACACTTTAGGTCACAGAACTTCACTCCATTTTCTTATTGAAACTATCCAAAACAACCTAAGCGACATCCGATAATTCCAGCTTACCCCATTTGCATGACACACATAAAATAGCAAAAAAACACTAAAAACACTTAAAAACGTACATAAAACGTGTCGCGCCGAATTATGAGAAGTTAAAGCATCGCATCAGTATAACAGTCCATTAGAAAAATCGCTAAAAAGATTGGTATATAATTTACAAATAGTTAATTCGGTACGAACAATAACAACGGCCGCCATTTGCAATTTTCAACTTGACATGCGCACTGACTCGCAGTAGACAAACATACGTGACGTAGCTTTAGACAAGCGTTTATTTCATCTGTTTTTTAATTTCATTTTATCGATATAAAAATATTTATTTGAATGGTAACATAAAATAATATTAGATTAGTTGCAAGTATGTCATAGTTTCTGCTCAAACCGAATTAATTTCATGAAGTCATTACTAATCTTTGAATTTACTTCGCTGTTTCAAAGTCACATCATCAGCCTTTCATGCTCCACTGAAGGCTACTTTTGATTGGTAGATGGTGTTATCTCCATGTTTTTATAATAATTTTAGCCCTTCTGATTGGCTGCCGCCATGAAACGTGATGAAACGAATCACTTCCTGTTGCTAATTATAATAAAGTATTTTGAAAATGGTTTCCTAAAGTTTGAAATGTTTAATTTTTTTACTAATTTTTAATATCTCTGTAGTCTAATTATTTTACATTTCATCCTTATAAACAGTCTTTTCACAATTTGGATATAGATGAATCCGATGAATTCATGTGATTATGAGATTCCATCTATCAATATGGGTTAACTTGGCCGGCTTGGCCCATATAAAATCTAATATTATACGTGTAAAATTGTATGAGGTTGAGTGTATGTTTGTAATTCAATCACGTCAAAACGGCTAAAGGGAACAGGATGAAATTAGGAACAAGGGCAGATTATGGTCAGGATTAGTAGGCGACTCCTTAATCTACAGGAACACGAGAAAAACCGCATGCAAAATTTGTATATATTTAAGCTAGCATCCCATAAACACAATACAAAATAATGAAATTTTACTACCTGCTAAGTTGTACCAGTATCTACTGTAGGTATACAGAAATAATATAATAATTTACAAAAATATATTGACTTTTAGAAAACAGTTTATCGGGAAAATCGAATTAAAATTAAAAGAAATAATTACGACTTGAAGCTTACAGTCATACATTTAATCACATTACAACCAGATCTAGTCATATGACTAATTCATAGTAATAAATAAATTAAAGACGAAAACGTAATCTTAAATTTTTTCCGCTATTTTAGACTTTCAGCTGGAACAGATTGAAACAGTCCTTTCCTTGCCATTTCATCAGCCCAATCTTCAAATTCAGCTTTTCTGGAAAATAAAAGTCTATATTAACTTTTTGCAAAAACCAACTTTATGGATTGTATTTTGTAGAAGAAAAATGAATATTCAACATCAACTATTTAGCGGATTTCTCGTGAAATATTTTTAAGTTTTCTAGAAGTTTTACATTTTACGTTTATTTTTACATTCCCTTTCATTAACATTGGTATGTAAGATTACGATCCCATATTATCAATGTGCATAGAAAAATAAAACGTTTTAAATTTTCAAATATTACAATACCAAAAGGTGAATCGACTAAAGATTATGTCCTAAATTCAATGATCACCATTTTTTTAGTGTGGCAATACCAACAATCAAAAAACAACAGCAACACTAATCAGCAGCACAGAAAAAAAGTAAATGAATGAATGAACAAGACAAGTCGAGTGTGATTGATGCATTTTAATTTTTTAAAGTTTCTTCAAAATATTTATCATTATCCATTATCTATTGACATGTAATAAATAGTGCTTCTGTTTCTACATATATTTCAGATAACTGAATGAGAAACCTTGTTATTCCCGTAATATAAACAACAACTGTTTTGGTGATTTTGGAACCAACACTTTAATGAATGTGAGTATTTCTGTGGTATTTATTTAAAACATAGGAATAGTGTGATATTAGATAATATTCGTTATTTATATGACTTAAATAAGTAGCGTACTATCTATAAATGTGTGCTACAATTCGTATTTTAATAGAAAAATCATTTGCAAAATTTAACTATTGTATCACTGAATCTGGTAATGAAATAGAATTTTTGGGTAAAGTTTAGTGAAAAAGATATGCCAAATGTGATAAGGAACATTTTTACAATAGTAGTTAGTTTAAACATCTGTTTAAAATAAAATTATGTTGAAAATTCTTAAATAATTTAACAATTTGTGGACTAAGTTTGATTCTAGGAAGATGGGAGTTGATGAACCATTTACCCTAATGAGATGGAATAAATATATAACAGTAGGATGCTATTAATGCTAATATCCCTTGTGTACCATAATATCGTAGATATCACTGTTTTTTTTTCTTAAAAAGAAAGTAGACAATGTATGAGGAAGAGGGATCAATTTGTTAAAGAATAACTAACTATAATCACAAATATATGTATTTATATAAGAAATTTAACACATTTCAGTGTCCGATTGAACTATATTATGTTATTTCTCGTTATCACCACATTCTCAATTTTAAGTACAACTTAAAATTGAGTATTTTAGCGTTGCTGAAGATATATAAATCCGAAACATCTTATTTTACCTAGTACCTTCAGGTAACCTATACCACTGACAAGGCAAAAGGAAGATAGTATTACAAAAATGATAAGAATCTGTTCAAAATATTATTCATACATGATTGTAAAGAATGGTAGGCTCACAATGCAAGGAGGATGTATGCAAATAGTTTGTATGCTACAAGAAAGGAATTGACTTGCAAACAAATTGATAAATAATCTGTTACACTCATTGTTATTTTAAGTGTTACATTGTTATGATTTTAAATTAGACTTTATGATCTCCTTGAATCTTTAGTTCAATGATTTGTATTTTATTTTATGTCTTCTTAGGATGTAAGGTTGATAATTCTATTGACAAAAGATGATGTATATTGTATTGCAATGTTCAATATTTAACAAAGAAATTGTTTAATACTTTACTATGAAGTCTAGATTTCAGACATGCTTTTGCATTTCCGAAACATATTCCAAAAATTCTCACCCATATATTAATTGAAACCTTTTTTTTAAATCTTAGTCAAAAGGGCAATACAATTCTTGTTAACTGTGTTCTCAATATGTCATCGTGTTGAACAAAACTACAAGTTACTGAACATAGGCCTCCCCTAACAAAATTTTCTCATATTTTATAATAATTAAATACTGTCTATCCGCATGTCTGTGCTGCAATTTATTCAAACTGTGGAGATTTGTGTACAGCTGGTAAAGCGGCAACTTAGACTACGGATGAAACAGTAAACTTACGCATAGAAATCCCTGTAGGCTTCTCTTCTACGCAGCCCTAAGAAAACGTAGGTGCAGATGCCAGCTATAGTTGACGCCAAGATGGCTTGGGCTAGCTTACGCTTCGTCTGAGCCCAATGCAGACCACGCATTATTGGCCTGGAGTGGCATGGTGGCGGGGGCGGAGGCGGTGGGCAAACGGATGGGCACGGCGGGTAGGGCGTCGGCGGGCAGGGCGGGCACGGGGGTAGACCCGGGTCACACGGATTCATTGGACTGGAATAGAAGTGGGGTTAAATAACGTTCCATGTTACGAGTTTCTTTTTCCTCTCAACAAACCTGCCTATCCCTAAAATATCAAGATTTTATCTCGTGTTATGCAATCTCACGAAGATATGAAGTTATCACACTCTCTTTCTTTTTTCCAGGTATTATCCCTATAAATGAAAGATGGCACAAAGCTCACACGGAGGAAGTCACAGACGCAGCAGAGATCATGATGGAGGTGCCATGCGGTACACAAACACTGATTGGGAGGCCAAAGAGGCTCTCTACCAAAGAGAACTGGATGAAGCCAGAGCCAGGGCCACGCAGATGGAGAAAACTATGCGATGGTGGTCCGACTGCACTGCTAACTGGAGAGAAAAATGGAGCAAAGTACGCAACGAACGGAATAAAGCTCGAGAGGAGTCTAAACAATTAAAGAGCAAAGTAGACGCGCTCACCAAAGAGCTGACCACGTCCAAGACAGAAAAGAATGATCTAGAACAACAACTAATAGAACTGAAGAGAGACAACGAAAAACTTTTAAGTTTAGGAGAAAGTAGGATACTGGCGGGAGACCTCACCACTGAAGACGGTGTAGAGTTGAGGCGGAAGAACGTAGGGTATCTGTCGCCGAACGAACCTTCCATACGACAAAGAGCATCGTTAGACTCGCACAAATTCTCAAATGTAGATAATGTCCTTGCGAACAAATTGAGTGAGCTCAGGTTGAGGCTAGACGAAACCTGCAAGTCCCTTCAAACCGAGAAGGATGAAAAAGCATTCCTACTTTCAAAGATCGAGAATCTAACAGCAGAATTACATAATACTAAAGTGGAAATGGCTCATAGCGATAGAACATTAGGATCCACAGATTCAAGCCATAGCGAGGTAGAAAGGCTACAAAATGAATTGCAGGACGAAATTGCAGCCAAACAGGTCTTAGCAGAAAAAATAGCTGAACTTAAAATGGAGATAGAAAGGTTAAAATCTGAGAACACAATTCAGTGGAGCAAGCGAGAACTGCTCGAAACAGAGAATATAGCAATATTGAGGGAAAATAAGAAGTTATATAGTCAAGTGTGTGAACTAAGGGAACAGATACATAAGCTGAACCGAATATCGGACGGAAGCGCTTACTTCAGCGATCACAACAGGCTAGATTCAAATATTCTTTACGTCAGAAAGACCAGCGCTAGTCCGAGGTCCCACGAATCGAGTAACGGCTCATCAGAAGCCAATTTGCACTGTGACGCTAAAACGAACACTTCGGGCGAAGACGACGAATTAGCAATAGTGGAAAGAAACGATAATTGCTAAACAAATACCTTTTTTCAGCTTATTTCCTGATTTGTAGCAAGAACACGAGTTTATCAAGGTTCTGTCAAAATTGAATTAAGAACGCGTAGTTAATGGTATGCGTAATTTATTCTTCTTTGAAATTAGAGCGCGAAGTAGTAGTTGAAAGAGGTGGTATTTCAATGTCGTTGTTTGCGGTTCTCGTGAATGAGTAGAAGAAATTGTAGTATTTATTAGTACATGGATTAGAGATCTCATTGGCATAGCTCGATTTAGCCGTCATCAATATTATTTAAAATATAATACATAGTACCGACGACTTTATGTAATACAGGGAAAATAGTTGAAACAATGTCTGCCCAATTTTAGAGGTTATACAGAGTTAAAATCACCAAGATAAACTTGGTTAACAGAAAATAACTGGTAAATACTGATAGTCTTCAGAGATTTAAAAAGCAAATATGAACGTCATACAAAAATTTCAGTACCGCGCGTTTTTACGGCCTAGTTTTATTTATATTCTCGACTTCCGATTCCATAGATCGTAAAACTAAAACCCGCCAAATTAATGTGTTATAGTAAGAAAAAAAATAAATTCGCGCCAAAATAAACGAATGCATTTAAAATCATTCCATTGCGTTCCATTTGAAACGAAATACGTATTAGAGGGTACAAATATTAGTACCTATTTTACGCTTAAAATTTTAGCTGTATGCTAAATTAAATTACACGTCTGGTTAAGGTTACGCGTACGGAAAGCTTCTGACGACTCTTCAAATATTTAGTTTGGAAAAAAATATTTACCTTGGAAACGTATTAAAGTAGATATAAGTACCTAACTATTTTTTTTTAATGGACCAAGTTATAGCTACGTTGTAAACCTAGCTGTTCAATCCTCAAGCAGTCACCGGTTACCGCTTAACAACTCCATTATATACCTTATTTCAGATGTTTAGAGACTACTTTTGTATGAAAAAAATTTTGGGGATTTTCAGTACGATATATCAACGCACAAGTTAAGTTTAGTACCTATAACTTGGTTTGGTAAAATTGGGGCCATTTTGCACATCTGCGAAAATTAATCGTTTCGCGTCTATTATTTTGAACATATTTATTTTTCAATACGGTTATTAAAACGATTTTTCGTCTAGATCGCACCGATTGCTGGCCTGAACCGATAAAAAATCCTTAAAAATCAATTTTGAGGGGGAAAATCATCTAATGACTTCTCCCATCTTGAGCGAGGCGGGAGGGAGTGTCAGACTCTTGACTAAAACCATCCTGTTCCTACTCCAGCTTTGACCTGGAGCCCCGGTAACCCGCTAGGTCGTCCACAGCTCCGGAAGTAACCTTACCATGGCGTAGTAGAATAAACATGAAGAAATAATTACCTATAATAAAGTAGGTACTCCATTAAAGTGACTAAGAACAAGATGTTACACTCGTTAGTGATTGTTGATCATTGTGATAGTCTAGTTTTACATTAAGATGACTCGGCGATAAGTATGTGTCGCTTAGCATTATCGTAAAGTCGGCCACAAGATAGTAACTGCTGCATTTTTTTAAGAGGGGAAAATCATCGAGTGACTGCTTAAGCCTGGATGAGGCGGGAGGGAGTGTCAGACTCTTACTGACTAAAAACCACCCCGTTCCTTCTCCTGCACGTCGAGCCGGAGCCCCGGTTACCCGTTAGGTTGTCCGTGACCGACTCCTTCAATGACTTCCGACGACCGGTTGTGTCCTTTGCATAGATCTTAGGTAAAATTTTAAACGTCCTCGATTTTTTGTAGTTTTAAAAATAAAATCGAATGGTACAGCTTGGAAAAATGAGTTTGGAATAATTGAGGTGGTTAGTATCGTATCTAAGGCAACTTGGTACACTACGACTCAACGAAGGAACGGGGTGGTTTTTAGTCAGTAAGAGTCTGACACTCCCCTCCGCCTCACCCAGGCGGGAGCAGTCATTCGATGGTTTTCCCCCCTTAAAAAAAAAAAAAAAAAAAAACACTACGACTCAAGCGGTTTTTATATTTGTTATTTTTATCGAATTTGTTTATTTATTCATGGAATATGGTCCGAAGTGAATGGTTCAGTCCAAGTCAAGATGTGGTCGTCATTTCCTAACTAACTACTCTGAAAAGAAGTACCGAAACAAACTCAGAGGTCCGTCTCTTTTAAAGTCCAGACAATATGTATATAAAAGTTTATGTGTGAGAACCGTGCAAGTTTATTCTCTAGTGGCCTTTTGAGGATTTTCTGACGGCAGTACGGATGTATCGGTTTAGTCAGCTCCAATAACAGGTGAGGCTGACTGATTCGACGAACAATACCAACCAAAAGAAGAGGTCCACACAAATACTCAAACTGTCAGAACATGGGTAGTTATATAGTATTACAATATTAGTTCCATCCAGCTGTAACTGCGTCAAACTCTTGTTTGCCAAGCTGTACCTAAATAGAGAAGTGAGAAATCTTCTATTTAGATTACAGAACAATGAAGTACAGATGCTGTGTTCCTATAAAGAATGCTTTTTTCCATTTTACGACATCTTTCAGAATGAGAAACGTCTTTAAAGTAATCTCTGTTTTAAAATACTTATTGGTGCTAACTTTGGCTTCAATAATATAAATTCCTCATGGCTTCCATATTCCAAAACAAAGCGGTTTTTACCCAATTTTCATCAGCGGTTAGAGTAATTCTTTAGACAGGTTTAGTCAGCTAGATGCTAAGCGATATTTATTTATCTCTGCTATAAATATATCCAATATAAGTCCAATGTCAATAATTCCCAAAAAGCTCAATTTAGAGAGATTTGATTGGCGGTTTTTTTATTGGTTGACCAATTACAAAAGTAGATTCGTTTCGCTTTGTTCTAATTGGACTTTCATATGCTAAGGTCCATAAATCGATGTGGCTATCGGACCGTCGTGGATAAGGACTATAATTGCTTAGCAACGATATAACGAGAGTTAGGAATTTTAATTTAATAACATATGGCATTTTTTCTGTCATGCGATTTTTTACCTAGATATCATAACATCACGCCTTTCATTCCCGAAGTGGTAGGCAGAGGTGCACGTTATGCCACTACAATGTAACACCCACTTTTCACTATTTATGTTATGAGCACCATGTAATTAGGGGGTGACCTTAAATATACGTAGGTGAAAATTCGTATGACAAATAAAGGGCCCTATAGGGCCAATTTTTTAAATCATCAGTTTTTTTTTTTGTTTTGGTCTTTGGCAACCGAGTCTCCAATACGATGTTGTCGACTATACTGCCAATGTCGAGTGGTGACGGCAGTTAATGCACCGTCGAACTTTAACTTTCTGGTAGTTGTTGGTAACGTTATATTTTAATACAATTTTCTCTGTGGAATAAAATTGACATTTGACAGTTTTTAGTTTGGAAGAGTTGACAAATATTCAAAGTTATTCCTCATTTAAAATTAAACTGAGGCCTTAGTACGAGTTTGTTTTACGTTTAAAGTAATGGTAACGAGTACGCGTTCGGCGCTGTGATTGGTTGGTTCATTGGCGCCGGCCAATCAGAGTGCCGAACACGAATGATTTAAAAAATTGGCCCTATAGGACCCTTTATTTGTCATACGAATTTTCACCTACGTATATTTAAGGTCACCCTCTATTTAATTTAATTTAATTTATTTATTTATTTATTTCGGACAACTTAAATCCATTTGGTTAGTAAACAAACAACTTATAAAACTAGTTTTAGTACTTAAAATTACCAGTTACAATTAAAACATGACTTACGCCACAATAGCATGCAGGCGTATCCAATGTCCCAGTATAGGGCTGTCCCATTTGTCTGCTATAGTCTTCAGGATGCTATTGGGGCTGATACGCACCCTATGCATAATTGAGGCAGAACGTTTTCGTATGATGGCATGAAAACCATCAACGCCTGCCTCTGCGAACATGCCAGAGGCACTGCAGTACCGCGGCAACCCCACCAGCACCCTGAATGCGTTATTGTATTGAACTCGCAGAGCGTTGTATGCCCTCCGCGTGTAGTCGACCCACAGACCGCACGTATAGAATGACTGACAGTACGCTTTAAACAAAGTTATCTTAACGTCAGTCGAGCATTTTGCAAACCTGCGGGCCAACATATTGCAGCGGACAGCCAAAGCCCTGCGCTCACGCTCTATGTCTAAGCCGTCGCTTAGATCTTCGGAAACCCAGTGGCCCAGATACTTGAAAGATGTGACTTGCTTTAGAGGACTTCCGCAAAGTTTCAGCTGTGTTGCAATCGGGTACGTTTTAGTGCCTGCCTTAAATACCAATACTTCACTTTTCCTTACATTGTATCTGAGCCCATGGGCCTCTGCATACTTTTCACAAATATTTAGCAGGCTCATCATTGAGCTGATCGATGGGCTCAGCAGCACCATATCATCTGCATAACTAATATTGTTGACACATGTTCCATCTATATAACAACCTTGATAGGTGCTGCTGAGCTCGGCGATCAACCGGTTTATGTACAGACTGAAGAGGCGAGGCGAGGTCAATCCGCCCTGTCTCATTCCACACTCCAGCCCATACTCGTCCGATAACGAGCCGGCCCACCTAACACAATTGATTTGATTCCAATACCAATATCTTAGCATTGATATAACTTCCCTATCCACCGTTGTATCATTTAACAATTTTTGCCACAGCAAGTCATACGACACCAGATCAAAAGCTTTGGAAAGGTCCAGGAAACACGCATTAACAGGCGTCTTCCTAGACGTATAATACTGAACAGTATGCTTGAGAGACAGTATGGCACTTTCTGTGGAAAGTCCTGGTCGGAAACCAAACTGCGCGTCATGCAAATCTATACGGGTTGACATATGCCTATCAAGCAAACCGTCCAGCACCTTAGCCATGATAGTAGCAAGAGATATAGGCCTATAATTTTCTAGATCTGACGTGTCTCCAGTCTTATTCTTTAAAATAGGTACAATTATAGTTTTCATTAGATCGCTTGGCAGATGAGCGTGGCTTAGACAGAGCGAGAAGAACATCGCCAGCACCCTGGGTAGATGAACTCCCGCATATCGCAGGTGCTCGATGCTGAGGTTGTCATGCCCCGGCGATTTCCCCCTATTACATGGGTCTCATAACATAAATAGTGAAAAGTGGGTGATACATTGTACAGTGGCAAAACGTGCACCTCTGCCTACCACTTCGGGAATGAAAGGCGTGATGTTATGATATCTAGGTAAAAAATCGCATGACAGAAAAAATGCCCTAAGTTATTAATTCCTAACTCTCGTTATATCAGAGTGCCGAACACGAACTCGTTTCGAATACTTTAAACGTAAATCAAACTCGGAATAAGGTTTGAAAAATCGACCCTTAAAATCCGATAGCTACGATACAATGACATTATAATTTCAAATAATAGGTACGAATAATTTTATTTAAAGAACAATTTAATTATTCAATATTTAATTTAAGGCCTAATTTGCTGCGTATTTTGTATATTTTTTTAAGTTATTTATTTGCTTTACTTGCCCTTAAGGAACAGCTTTATGAATTATTATTAACTTGAATATCCTGAATTATTTTTCGAATGTGAATATTTTACCCAGCATTACTGTATGTGTTAATAAAAAATTAATGATGTAATTCAGTAGAATTGTCGTCAAACTTTTGATTAATCTCGTGTTGGCTAACTAACTGCCGTGCTAACCGGCAATGTTATTCTGCAGTTAAGAAATAACTTATGATTGATAAATCGGGCCTTAATAATTACTTAAATTTCTTTAGTATGTATTTCCTGAAGGGTATAACCTGATTGTCTTCAAGACCTGAGTGAATAGGGTCGACGTGCTTCATCGTAGACCGCATCGTCGCTTACCACCAGGCGAGATAGTAGTCAAACGCCGGCGTCAAATATAAAAAAATGTCCAAAAAACATTTTTTTAAATAACCACTAAATGACTCTTTAGGTTGTAATAAATAACTGTAATTTTGAAATTGTGTATCATACACATAAATATTTATATCAATTTAAAGATATTCAATAGAACAAAATGTCAAATTGTATCACATCAACAGCCTTTAAATGCGTATAACGCCTCTTGTCACACGGATAAGATTTTCCTCTTGTCACATTGATTACCACGTTTGCCGAAGCGTGGTGCTTGCGGGTTGGCGATGTATAACTTATAATTAGAAATTATAAACCCAGGTTTCCTCACGATGTTTTCCTTCACCGTTTGTCAGTGGTGTCTAAATAATCAGAAAGTACATATAACTCGGAAAAAGTCACATTGTAACTTGTCGTTGTTGGTTGGTTTTGAAACCGCACCCTCATGCAAGAGAAGCGGGCGTCTTAAACCTCGGGGCCATCACGACATGACGACGAATTGTATAGAATCAATCAATCGAAACATTATGTAAATAGATCGGTGATTAATATCTATTTATAAAATCAAAAAGTTTGGCGACATTTTCACTAAACTCTGAAAATAATGTGTAATTTGTTTATAATTAAAATCCTCCTTTCATTTGAATTGGCCTAAGATATGAAGTTCAAAGGAAAGTGTCCTAGAATGAATACGATATAATTGTATAGTAAAATATTATATTATACCTAACTATTAGCTATCAATAAACAAATGTCGTGTATTTAAACTTTTTGCTGTTTTATTTATTTTGCGCAGCTGACAACTTTGTACCGCGTTAATTTTTTTTACCTTTTAATCCTGCCCTGGACTTTCACACGTCATTCAAGACCAAAATTTGCTATATCGGAGCAGCCGTTCTCGAGTTTTAGCGAGACTAACGAACGGAAATTCATTTTTATATATACACAAGGTGTCCCTAAAGGGGACGATCAAATGGCACCAGATGATCGGCAACGCTCCAATAGTTATCAGAAAAATATAAAAAAAAAATGTAAGTCATTTAGTTTTTAAATTACAATGACCTAAGTGTTATCCACGAAAAAGTATACAAGTAAAAGTACAAGTATCGATAACATTACGCTTTTTATGTCTGAAATCTTAGGCAGAGGTGCGCATTACTTACCTATGAGAATAATGTAACACAGTTAAAAACCTGTTTTTTTTTCTTTTCTTGCCAGACCCGCGAATCCCACTGTAGGTCACATTTATAATCTAAGTAAAACTACGTACCTTGCTCCTGATTTAGATTTTATTTGCACTATTATTAATATATCTTTCACTTTCGAGTTTAATTATTATCAACAACTTTGAACAAAAACAAGTAAATGAAGTTACAGCAACTGAGGGTATTCGCAATTTAAAATTGTAATAATTATTGCCAGAATAAAAATTACATTTACTCCTAAACGTTTATTTGAAAAAATAAACTGTACAATCTCTGTTTTAAAAGTATCAAGAAACAAAATATACTATGAAGTAATTCTCACAGAGAAAATAACAAAATAAAAATAGATTTTAACACACGAGTAACACAAGAATCACAGTGTTGCCAAGAAAAATCAGCCTTAAAATATTGTACCATTAATAATTGGACTACCAAAACAGTTTTAGGGCTCTTTATTAGGTCCAAAATTGGCAACAGGCAACATACCCATCCTTTTGAACCTAGATTTCACAATAGTCTTTTTTAGATCCCGTTTATGTTTAAATATTTCTTGACTACTATCATCAGGGCTAGCAGATGATTGTGCGGCCTGGTTTAAATGGTCAATGATTTCAATTTCATACGTCCGTCTCTGGTCTTCATTTTGTATGATTTCTGGTAAAGATTCAAATTGTAAATTATTAGCTTCGGATGACAGTTGGTTGAATGTTGTCAGATCTAAAATATCATCTTCTACTTCTTTGTCTGAATCTTGTTTGACTGTGTAGTCGTCGCTCTCATCTGAATTGGTTGCTTCTTTCCTGATCCGTTTCTTGGCTTTATTTCGAGGGTTGTTGTACGTCTTGGGGTTGGACGTTTTGTTTACTTGTGCAGCTTGTTGGGTTGCTCTATTGGAAAAGTTACTTGAGTATAATAATCATTACATCACAAATTAAGTTGAAATAGGGAACAAATTACTACTATAATATTATAATGTTACATTAAAGATTCTGCTGTTGTTGTCAAAATAAAATACATAGTCTGTTAAGCGAGTCTAGTCCCGTGAAAAAGGCGGCATGATTGTTTGTTTTTTATTTATTTCAAATATGTTTTTTTTATCAAAATTCAAGTTTTTAGCGTGCTATATCGGTTGACACCTGAAAGATTTTTAAATTGCCGCCTTTTTCATGGGACTAGACTCGCTTTACAGACTCTAACTGTTAATTTTAGTGATTTCTTTTCTTATTGGGTAACACTGCGTATTTGTCTATGTCAACAATAATCTGTGTCGCTGTCAAATCACGTAATTTTCCCGCCATTGGTATTTTTTTAATTCTTATAATAGTTTTCAGAGTATTGGAATAATCATTTGTTTATATAATGGGGATGATGACAGGGTATGAAAATTAAAAATATAATTAGTCCGTAAGTTAGGTAATGAAAAAATATTAGACACGTATTTTTTTATTTTGTCGTATAATAAAACAATACTTAGATAAAACGAATCAAAGTTTAGGAGTGGGGGCTAAAACGTCATTTCTTAGTATAAAATGTACTGAGAAGTGACGTCACGCGACATTTCAAATCAATATATCTTCGAAACTATTCGTTTCTGTGAGAAAATAAAAAATACGTGTCTAATGTTTTTAAATAATCTACCAGACGGACATTAAAATAAAAATTAGTCGTCTATCCTATTATGTTTCCTTGCGAACTTATAGAATTTTCGGGGGATACAAGAGTAATTTATATTTTAATTGATACATACCTGGACGCCACATCCATCCGATGTCGAAGTGGCTTAACCTTGGCTTGCATCGCCTTCTTCTTTATACTTTTAACTAATTCAGTACTGTTGGTAGAATCAGCTGAGGAATAAACAAAAAAATACACATTTAATAAAATTGAGGGCTTTCTTTTGGGTCCATTGCTGTAAATCAGACCTCATTTCCATGACAAATTGTCAGGTGAATACTAATTTGTTGGATTGGAGAACCGAACCGGACCCGACTACTTGATTAACAAGTTATTCAAACCCAATAATACTTTGAAAGTAGTTTGTAATTATCAATCAATATAATCATGCGTTACCATTGACTTACAAGCTGTTTCATTTTCCAAAATAAAATTAGCCGTGTTACTCTTTAGTACATCAGCTAGCTGATAATGAAAGCCCGTCAAAATAGGTCCAGTCATTCCAGAGATTAACCAGTACAAACAGACAGACAGACAGACAAAAATTGTACAAAATATTATTTGGTATGTGCATCATATGTATATTCAATTCATATGCATGTAGTAATAAGCGATCATTTTAATATTACAAACATCCATCCAATTTTATTTAGATAAAAATTTGTATACAGATGTATACAAATTTTTTCTTACCATCATGAGCATCATCAATATCCTGTTCATCATTGTCATATATCCCGCTGATGACGTTCCTCAGACTCTTGTCCAAGTTTATGGCAAAGTTAGGATCCACATAGCTTAAGTCATCTGGTTTTACACCTGAAAATTAATTAAGAAAATAATTATAAGTTATATAATATAAATATAATTGTTCGGTGTTATATATAAATGTATTTATTAAAAGAAATGAAGAAGAAAGAATAGTAGGGTAGCAGAAATTCTCCGGCCATCTTAAGCGCGGGCTGCGGACGGCGAGCATGGGTGGCTCGGCGCCCGACCAGAACCAGGCCCGTCGCGTAGTGAGCGCACCTCAAAGAGCCATAAGACCACCACAGATGGGGCCAAATAATCCTCCCGCCTGGGTGAGGCGAGAGGGAGTGTCAAACACTTATTAACCAAAAACAATCCCTTTCCTACTCCTGCACTTCGAGCCAGAGCCCCGGTAACCCGTTAAGTTCTCCGCGGCTCCGTATCGGCATCAGCCCCATCGGGCCCCATCTGTGGTGGTACAACAATTGGAGCTGGAGCTCCGGTAACCTGCAAGGTTGTCTGCAGCACGAGGCACTTACCAGTAATATTTTCTTTAGCGTTGCAGTACCGTATAGTCAGATGTTTCAGCTCCTTCAAGAGATCCAGCTCAGTGTTCTGACGGTAGAACACTCCTTTAGGTCGAGCATCTTTCTTGTCTACACCCCCGTAACCTGACAAAAATAATTATGCGTAAATTGTTAAACAATTTTAAACTCTATCATGTTACAATTAAGTGCAAAATTATTAAAGAAGAAAAGTAACAGACTTTGATTCTGACCAAGGTATCATCATCATCATCATCAATAGATGGAAGACGTTTATTAGAGTTTTGTTCAGTAGTAGACTTCATCTAGACCAGGGTTGTCCAAATTATATACCCTCGCGGGCTAATTAAATTTCTTACAAAAGCTGGAGGGCCGGAAAAATATTTTCAGTTGCATAATGGCGTTTAACATTGTTATCTTTACTCACAGACTAAACTTGCATACAAATCACAAACTACACGCGGCCCTTTGTTCGGACAGCCCTCATGTAGAGCAAGATATTTTTCCTTTTAGTTTCTATAGCGAGTAAATAACTAGAATGATCTGGGACCTCAGTACGGATTTGTTTTACATTTAAAGTAATCGAAACGAGACCGCGTACGGCGCTCTGATTGGCCAGCTCCAATGAACCAACCAATCACAACGTCGAACGCGGTTTCTTGGTTCATTGGAGCCGATTTCTTGATACGTAAAACAAACTCGTACTGAGCCCTCAACTGATGCAATGCTGATGAATGGTAGGCAATAAGCGCTGCTTATAAACAGTAAACATCCACAACACAACAAGAGTTACACCTATAAATGAGTGCGTTCTTAGGTGACGCAAGTAGTTTTTCACGTCTCTGGTATCCCTTCAATGGAGCAGGCCTATTTATTATGTCCCGAAGCATCATGGCATTTCCACGAACCAAAAATCACCTTCTATAACATACCTTCTAAGTACTTCTTGATAGGATATTCCATGCCCCTTTCTCTGAGCACAGCTTGGTACTGCACAGGCCCTTGTATAAGTATTGATCCCAGGATATAGAGCACATCTTGTCTCCGATCCCGCCTGGCTACCACCTCTATCCTCTGTATGGCCGGTAGATCATCCTGAACAATTCGAAGATGTGCAAAGTTGGCATACGGCTGGAGATTTAGGAGACTGTAGACTAGGAAGAGGCCTGTTACCGATTCCTGAGAAATAAAGAAGTTTATAGTATTATTGTCATAGTCACAGTGTCTTGGTGTCTTGGTGCTTGGTGCATGAATAATGGTGCGGATTTGAAACCTACCAACGGCAAGTACCAATGTGACTTTTTCCGAGTTATAAGTACTTTCTAAGATTATATATATATTATTAAGATTATTTAGACACCACTGACAAACAGTGAAGGAAAACATCGTGAGGAAACCTGGGCTTATAATTAGAAATTATAACTTTGAAATCGCCAACCTGTATTGAGCAATTGTGGTGATTAATGCTTAAACCTTCTGTCTAAGAAGAGGCTTTGCTCAGCAGTGGGCACTATAGGCTGTTGATGTGATGATAGTATTATGACTTTCGTGAGACATACTAAATTAATTATTATGTTTCCGGCTTACTCACGTAACTGTTTGATGAACTCAATTAGTTTCAACCCATGCTAGAGGCTCATATTCATGAGGAGCATTCGTCACCACAAAATGTGCACCACAAGTTACTTGACACACAGATACGTGACTAAGCCGAAAACATAATTCAGTTTTAGTAATTTAGTTAGTGTCAAGAGAAAAATGACCAATTATTTTTTAGTAAAAATCCAAACACAACATCCCTTTTATATGGGATTGTGGGACAATGTAGATTGTGGATAATGAATCACACTTGCTTATAAGCAATTAGCTTTATGAAGAAATTTGTTGCCAGGGGTATAACAAGTAGTATAGGTACTTGTTTTTAGGTTACCACTAGTATTTAGTACAGCTCCTAAAAGACACAGAAAAACAATAAAATTAAAATAAAAGTTACCTCAAAATTACTAGTATCGGCTAACATATAGTTTTTGGCAATATGTATCACTTCCTCACTCAATTCTGCAATTTCTGCGCCTGAAGATCTGTTACTGTAAACATAACATACAAGTTTAATAACAATTTAATGAAAAAACATTATTTAGTTATTTAGTTTAAAAATAACATTTATAATTGTAAATTTTAAGGCTTTGACTGCCAATAGAAAACTGTTGAAGACAAATCCTCTGCTAACGTCAGACACTAGTAAACTTACTCCCCACTTACTGTTTACTGTTAAAAAGAATTTAAGCTTTTATAATCTTAATCGGATTAAGTTTTAAAAGTAAATACATAATACAAAAGTAAGAAAAGAGATCTTACTGGAATATACACGAAAACTCCATACTCTTCCATACTTCGGAGAATACTTCAAAGGTGACAGTGCCAGCTTCAAGGCAGCGGTGAATGAGCTCGTCACAATCATCCGTGAATCCATCCGCTATGTATGCTGCTCCAATATGTGGGTGGTACATGGCTATACACTGAAATTTTTGTCAAAAGTTACCAAAGATAATTTTGTTTTACTAGTCTATTTTGTTTACTACTTACATAGCCTACACAAAACAGCAGCACTTACTATTAAATCTAATTCCAGTGATACTTACCTTATTACTTATTGAAAAATTTTTTTAAAAGTAAATATTTTTATGCTTACCTTGTTGGTAAACAATAAGTTTCGTGGTGTTTTATGGTTGTATATTCCTGGGGAAACTACCATCAACTTCCCAGTTTAATTCTCAAAAGGTTCAATAACTTTTTGATGTGTTCGAAATGTCGGATTTATTTCGAATTTACTATTCCGCTTTTTTGAATAGAAAACTCAAATAGAAGTCGTATTCCGGGCTCCGGCACTTCCATTGACAATGACAATAGTGGCAGTGGCAATATGACAGACAGACAGCTGATTAACTGACAGAATAGAATGTAACGTGGCTATTTATTTTTTAAACCTAAATCACTAGTTTTTGGGAATTGGAATAATAAAACTGTAGTAATAAAAAAACACGAAAATTAATAAAAGTCAGTTGAAAATTGATAGTTTAGTATTTTGGATTTTAAACTTAGAGTATAATTAACAGTTGATTAAATACTCTAAGGTTTGTTATTAAAGAAAGAGCACATTTTTTACCCGACTACGGCAAAGCCAAAAGGGTTATGATTTTAATGACATGTAAGGAAAACGGCGGAACGGATTAAGTAATACCACGGCCTTATAGAAAACCGGTGTGGAAGAATGGATGCATCGTGCGAAGTTTATAATAATTAGATCAGGCAAGTTCTGGGATTTACCCAAAGCTTTTCCTCTGGAGCATCCAGGTTTCACCCTACTCTTGATAAATGAGTCTTAGTCATTACTGAAGTTAGATGAATAAAAACTATAATAATTATATGATTTAGGTTCCTCTATAAATTTTTGCATGCATCTACATCTGGTGAATGAATACTGGGATTTTTTTAAGGGGGGAATATCATCGAATGGCTTCTCCCGCCTGCGTGAGGCGGGAGGGAGCGTCAGACTCTTACTGACTAAAAACCACCCCGTTCCTACTTCTGCTCTTCAAGTCGGAGCCCCAACAACCCTTTAAGTCTTCCGCGGCATGCTATGCTAGATTTTTTTTTAAGGGGGTAAAATCATCGAATGACTGCTCCCGCCTGGGTGAGGCGGTAGGGAGTGTCAGACTCTTACTGACTAAAAACCACCCCGTTCCTTCTCCTGCACGTCGAGTCGGAGCCCCGGTAACCCGTTAGGTTCTCCGCGACGTGCTATGCTAGGATAGGAGGAATTTTGGAAAACAATGAATAAAAATAAAATTTCCAACGCCGTAAATAAGATTGTTTATTAAACTACACTGACAAAGTGAACCAACAAATACACTTCTAACGCAAGGCAATAAAACACTTTAGTATGCTTACAATTATTTAATGATTTGTCGATTTTGGTAATTATGTTCAACTAACGCATCTTGGTTGGTAAATACTTTATACACATGGCAGTGTACTGTGGATGTGCGATGCGCATTATTGCGTGTTACACCACTACTATAGAAACTAAACATATTTAGACGCGTTTAGACGGGCTGCTTCTCAATCAGTTTGTACCAGTGGCCACACTCGCAGCGGCGGGGGTGATCCTGTAAGAAACAATATTCATTAGTAATGTGACATGGCATTACTTGTTTTTTATTTACTAATAGCATATAAATATTTAAAATTAAAAATACACTACAGAGCATATACTTATCATTTCTTTATACGTACATGGCAATACCACACAACGAATTTATATAAAACTTCATTACATATATTTTGCCATTGTAATTTGTAACTTTATTTTCAAAACAATAGATATTATTCTAAACAATTATTGTTATTTTTATAGTGTGTGCCAGTTTTGAATTTTAATTTCATTGTAAAAAATACTTTTGTGTTAATAAAGGAAATAACAAATAAATAATATTACCTTGTGTAACCAGAGCCAGGTGACGGCTGTGGCGTGCTCTTCACCTGTAAACAATAAGTCGTAAATTCATCAACAATTATTATTATGTACAGTATTGTCTTACTAAGTAACTAAGCCCCTATGACAAATCTAATATATGAAGGCTGCACAATATCACCTGATATAAGTTCCCAAAATTTGTACATACAAAAATAGTCTCTAAACATCAGAAATAAAGTCTATAATGGACATAGTGGAGAGTGGTAACCGGCGATTGATGAGGTAATAGCAATGAATATAGGAAATGTTTTTTTTAAACACATAAACATTGCCCCACACTAAGATTTTCTCCTGTATCGTGGGTGCGTTTACAAACATACAAGTTCTCATACACATGACAAGCAGACCCGAAACAACAATCTTTAAAGCAAATCACACAGAGTTATTCCGTGCGGGAATCGAATCCGCGACACGTTGACGACCTAAAGTTTGCATTGAATAACCTCGGACACTGCCCACTGGATAATAATGTAAAAAAATCTTGTCCTAATAGAAACAGTTCAGTTGCTAGAATTTTTTAATTTTAAACTTAGAATTATTCAAAGCGCCAATAAGTAAAATAAGTATTTATTAAAAAAAAATAACTTCTTTAATGAATGCTGTTGCTATGGAGTAGTACAAAGTATGTGACCAGTTTTTACACTGGCATTGTGCCATTATTGTAATGACTTCTATAATATATATTATTGATTGTATATATACAACTATGACATTACATGTGTTGGAGTATTATAATGGTTATTTAGAAAACCAGACCTTAATGTGTCATGATAAATTTAATATGGACATGCAGTCGAATTGATTCATTTTAACAATAGATTTAAGTACATACTCTTAAAAGCATTAAAAGATTAATTTCTGCATGCCTAGGTCTACATTATATAGTATGGTTTTACATGGATACATAAGTAAGTATGAATGAGTAGTGTAACTATGACATATTATCATGCAGTTACTGAGAGCAAAAGTGTACATAAATTATAAACGCATGAGAAATTAATCCCTATAACGTAAGGATAAAAGTAATATATAGAAATAATTTCAATTCTGAAGCAGCAATGTAGCAAATTAACGAGTCGGCAGTAAGTAGCGTCCGTCTCATTACTAAGTCATATCGGTTGACTTGTAATAATTAATAATTGTTGATATCAAGTGTATGTGAACCACGACACAGGAGAAAATCCTGGTGTGGAGCAATGTTAGAAAAAAAAAACAATCTAAAATGTTACCACAGTTTTATGTGACACTAAGTGCACTTACAAACACATAATTTTACACACACAGATGCATTCTGAGAAAACTAGTCTTAAAGAAGGTCATAACTAGTTTTTTATACAAACAAATAGATGAACAAGTTCATACAATTAAACAAAAAACCATTACAGAAAGGTATTTATTTACCTGTCAAGTGTTTTAACAGGCAAATGTTAGGTAAATCAGTCTACAGTTTATCAGTCAAGCACTTATTTGCAATCTAGTTGGAATTTTATGTAAGTGCCAATGGGTGTGGTCAGTTATAATAAAAAACTGAAGATTGAGATCAGTGGATGGTAATGCGATGATGATAATAGTGTAAATAGAATTACATAACATAACATCATGCATTTATCCCCAAGGGGTAGGCAGAGGTTATATAGGAGAAATTATTGTACTTTTATTGAAAGACTAATAAACATTAGGTATTTCAATATAATTTTCAGAATGTTTTTATAATAACTATCTTGAGACTTACTAAATTTACTTAAATCGTGGGTTATTTATCTTTTCTCAGTATATTCACGTGAGTAACCCGAAATTTAAGTTAATTATCAAAACCTTTCTCAGTCAGTCAAGAAGATTAATATTAATATTTTGTCTTTCTCTATTAGGCTCTCTGTCTCTGTTCAATTTAGAAAAGATATGATTTTAACATTTTTATCAGAACTTATATCAACTGAAAATGTTAATTCTCTCATAAACTAACATGGGCATGAAAAGATATTTACTGGTACATACCATCTATAAATATAGATGAGATAGAGATAAATATATTTATAGATGGTTTGTACCAGTATTATGTAGCTAAAACCGAGTACCATAGTCTGTGCATAGCACAATGGAACTAGTGTGAGGTTTTGTAAGTATGTAAAACTGTGTACTTACATATGCACCCAACAATACGGGCGTCAAAGCAAGAGGGCACTAGGGTGGGGTTGTCGCGGGTTCCAGCGGCTTTCTTCAGCACCTTCATGTTGAAGGGATCATCGTTGCCGGCCTGCATGGCCAGCAGTTCCTTCCTCTCCATACCAGTGGCATGCTCCAGGGGGTCAGGCATCACTGGTAGAAATTAAGTATATGATTAATTTAAAATAGTGTAAGAACATGTTTTCTTTAAAATGGAATTAACTACTTGATTTTTTTTGTCTCAATAGTGAGGAAAAAAGATAGGGTATAGTTTTATTACCTGTAAATATTATGATTATTTGTTTTTTTATTTTTAAGATTTGTTTTAAATATGGTTATGACATTTTATGATTATGCTAGAGAAGTAATATAACATGCATGTACATGTAGAGCTCAAGCAAGTCATCTTATTGGAATGAGATGAATAAAAATTCAACAAAACAACAGGAAAATCATGTAGAAACAAATAGGTAGCTTTTAGAATCAATGAAGAATATGTAAAGGATTTCATTCTATTATAGATTATGGTATGGTATAATAGTAAAATCATAGATTAGTAAAGAACTAGGAAGTTCGCCTATTACATTGGCCCACTATTGATTTTTTACAGCTGTCAAAAAAGTGTGAATGACCTTGCCAGTTCAAACATCGTAATTTCGTTTTACCTATTTATAAATGGACAAATCGAAGCCATTACACTATTTTGTAACAACTATACTACATAAGGACTTAATCTGAGATTAAAGTGATAAGGAAGATAACCTAAAATTCTAATAATTTTACGACGTACTGCTTGAAAGGAAATCAATAAAGTATTAAATGAGTAAATTGGACGAATAGCTGACTATTACATGCTTCCCAATTAACTTTTTTATTCATAATCGACGAACAATAACAAAAATATTCAATAAAACGTGCTGACATGAAAAATGACGTTTTTATATTTATCTTTTTACTATTGGATATAAAAATGTGAAAAGGACAATTTTCTTTTAATTTTAAGTAGATATTTTCCTTCATGTAGGATAAATATTATTGATCATTTTCATGAGATGAAATTTTACGGGAAATTTGACATTACGTAACTAAAGTGACAGGGATGGCGATTCAAGTAAAACTTGTACTGAAAATATAAGTTTTCTTACTTTTGTCGGCATATCCCCGTCGGGCAGTGGATAAAAGAACACTTTTAAATGCATTTCCTCTAACAATTTGCCTGCATAAGGATGCCATTGTGCTGATTTTTCACTAGACCGCTTTTCACGAATGCAAGTGAAACAATTTTTTTCGTATAAACTAGAGAGAGGCAAAACCGTAAGTTTCTATGAAGATTTTTGACTAACCGGAAAACCGATATTAATGTTAGTGATTTTTCTGAATAATATTATAATACAAGCGCATATTAAGTTTACTGTTATAAACATCGAATAAAATCTTAATTTTACATGTATTTTTTTAATTTTAAGGTGGTTAGAACTAATTATTTTTTCTAATTCATTTCTCGTTTTTTGTAAAGCGCCATCTGTAGAATGTGAAATGAAACATCAGCACAACATAAGGTCAACATATGAAAAAATTTGTAAAATTGTTATTTTTTCTATAAAAAAATTAGGTAGATATTTGTATGTGCAATAAAGTATAAAATAAATATTTTACTAATATGCGTAAGTTTGTAAGTTGCTTATTTTTTTTTACACAACATTTACTTACATTAACAAATAATAACAATAAATATTATTACGGTATTAAATTAATAATCAATTTTCATGACAAATTGATTCTAAAAGAATCTTTACTTAACTATATAGAATACTGTCTCCAAAATAAAGTTGCAATAATCGGTGGAACGGATTATTGAAAAAAATACTTGGTTTGTTATTTCCCATTTATTACGTTTTCAGTTTCAGAACCATACGTACTAAGACTTTTTTATTAGTAAATAGAAGATAATAATAATTGTCCTTGTGAAGTAGGTCAACAAAATAAAACAACTTTCACTATTCGTGATTATCTTTTCTTTAATGTTCATTTAATTGTAGACATAATTGGTAATTAATTCTGCTTGTAAAAGCTGCTTGTGAAATCAATGCTGTTCTATGCTAGCCTACATATGTGTCTTAGAAATTGTATGTACTGTACCTTATTAATTAGACCTTATGAAGCAAACGCGTCTTTGTATAGCAATCGTTTATTTGAATTATTTTTCATTAAAATATTTAATTTTTAATACAGATTTCGTATAGCACTATTTATGAATGTCAATTTGTCTGTTACTGTTGTCTGGAAAAGCTGAAACAAAAATGTATTGTGAAATATTTGAATACCTTAGGAATATTGACCATAAGATCTCATCACTAAAACCATAAATGGATAAAAGTTTAATTAATACTTACTAACAACATAAAACGTACTTTGCGACGGGTTTTAACAATTTTGTTAGCACATAGTACCAGTATAGATACTATTTTTGGACGAAATCAATTTCTTGTTCGACCACTTCTCTGTATGAAACATCCCTTGAAGGAGTTTAGTCTAACATCTATTTCACCTTCCTCTAGCTGAAAACACATACAAAAATATCATTGCGTTGCCTCCTAGAGTCTAGTTGGATTATGTTATGACTTATGAATGAATAAATGATAAAATATTAGAGTAATAATGTTTCCTTGTGCATCGTCGTACCGCATCGTCTTGGTAAAGTTCCCTGTAGCATGAAGGTGATACACATTCTCTGACGCATCGTGTTTTTAGAAGTCCTGTGGTTTGACTGCATGCTCCACTTTGTTCACATGCTGTCTCAAACTCTCTGAACGTCATCTCCTGAAATTAGAAATACTGAAGAGTAAATAAACATCATTGATGAAAAAAATGCCGCAGTGCACAACTTTTGTTAATAGTCAACTTACGTTTTTTGGTGTATCTTTGTATTGGTATTCTTTGAAAGTAAAAGCTACTGGAGTTTGTTCTGCAATGGTTTCTTGCACTTCATAAGTACTTAAAACAATACAATATCCAAGAAAAATGTAAAATACTGTCATTTTATGAAATAAATAAGTATAACTCGTAGACTCTATAAAATCAATAAAAATGTTGTCAGCCACATCTTTTCATTCCCTTACCTTACCCATTAAACCATGGATATTCCAAAATAACATAATAATATTCCAATATGAGAAATATAGGTATCATTGCATCAGCTATCATTATTTATCTTTTTAGACTTGACAATTTATAATATGAACATGAACATGTAAAATGAATAAATAAAACCGTAAAGTACCGACATCTTCAGACACTAAAATCGATAAAGTCCTCTCTCTAGATTTCGCATAGTCTGTGGTATCATCCTATATATTACTATATTCTTTGGTATCATCACATTTTGAATAGGGATGTAATCATACTTTTTAATCGACTAAAGTATTTAAGGTCGCTGTAGCTTAATATTATGTAAAAGTGAAATAATAGGAAAGTAATCACAAACTATTAATCTCAAAACAATTATCCTTATCTTATTCATAAAAATGTTGGAAGATCATAAATTTTAGTTTACCATTACACAAATCTACTAACAAATTAAGCCCTACACTAATTTCAATCACAGACAAAAAATAATTAAATTAATATTATTGTCTACGATCCTACGATCTGTCAAACGATCGAAACGAAACGCTTCGCGATAAATTGGATTTATTATTGAATGGAAATATTGCGGATTTTCTTATTCGTTTGGTATCTAAAATTTTCGGACCTATCTGTTCTGTGAAACAATTCAGTGTGTGCTTTATTTTTTTTGTTTCTTTGTGTTAAAAGAGGAAGTTACTTTCTACTGATTGAGGGGACAGGAAACACAATAACAACAAAAATTGGTAAGTTTAATTATAATTATTTACTGTAATGTAATATCTATTAGATTTACTTATTTATAAATGTTAATTATCTATAATATCTATACTAGTAACCATTGCGTCACCACAGGCGATCGTAAAACAATGAATGTCTTGAGTTGACTTTCTAGTTTTAATATTTTCCAATTTATTTTTTTTATTGTATTAGTTTTATAGCACAGATTTCACATGCATACGGCCATATAATTACGCTATACGGCTTCGATTAAATGCAGGACCTCTTTATATAAAAATTATTTGGTGTTTTTTTTTTTTACTATACTAATAAGATTGAGAGTGATTGTGTAGTCTGTTAAGTATAAAGTAAAAGGTGAACAATGAAAGCGGTTTCACATGTTAAGTCATGTAGAACTATACAATTAGTGCTGCAATTACGGGTGATTTGAAACTGATAATTGGGTGATATCAGAATTTTATTATATCAGCTCTATTAATATCAGATGTCGGTTTGATAAAGATTTTTTTTATTTTGGACCTTATCTTGACCATACTTTACTTTGCTTTGGATAAAAATAATAACTTTCATAGTGTATGCAGTGTCATATTGAGACTGCTACTGACTATCTAGTCTTAATATACCCTAGTTAAGAGCCCATTTAATAAAGTACATACATAATCAGATATAAGTCTTAATTTTGAACTCTATACTAAAATAATAACTTTTTTACTAATAAGAGAATGCTATAAAGGAGCATGTGTTATATGCATGAAACTACGATTTCAGTTTTATAAAGACATTTTACTTATAAAAAGGTTTGATAGATGATTTTAACCATATCAAAATAAATGTTCAGCAAATATAACTACTTTTGTTTTCATTATTTTGTTAATTATCCATGGTGAATGAACATTACCAGTAATATTTAAAAAAAAAACAAAATTAACTCTTATTTCCAAAACAATAAGGTTTCTTTTACAATAAACTTTGTACTACCTGTAGTCAATATTGCCGCTAATAATATTAATGTATGAAAAATAAATTATTTATAAAATTGAATTTGGAATTCAATTTATTTGCTGCCAGTTTTTGTTTGCTTGACAATCAGATGTTACAGGAGTGCTGATGTATTTATAATAAAGGATGCCATGAAGTTAGAAAAAGAAGATTTCGAGTACTTTTTGGAGAAACTTAAAATATTGAAAATATGGTGGATTGCTAGCAGTTGTTACTTATAATATACAGAATGCTCAGTGAAAGAACAGTAGTATAAATAATACATTTCACAACACCAAAAAGTGTTAATGGCCAATAACATCCAGTTTCTATAACCTATCTATCTGTAGATTTGCTTACTATAGATACAATTTTGATACATTTTGTATGGAGCTCATGTCAAAATTCTATCTCTAGTAAGCAAATCTACAGATAGATAGGTTATAGACACTGGACGTAAGCCTGCTGGATGGTCGGAGGTCACTACCAACTGACTGATCAGTAATTCTTAGGCATTAATAGGCATATCTTGCTTTTTAAAAAACATTGCTTCTCACCATAATATTCTTCTATGTCATGGTAGACAAGAACCTAAAAAAATGTATTAATCTTGCAAAAAATTGTCCTGTCCCACTTTAGCATATTTACTATAGTCAGTCGCCCAGACACCATGCCAATCATTCTATCTTATTATCAACCTGTCTTGTGTGAATTCAGTCATATGGTTTCAATAGAATCACCGTTATATAATTCTAAAACAGTGTTGTGTGCCAATTACTTAGTCTAGTTGATACATTATAAATTATGTTTTGATGGCCGGCTCCATATATGTACAATAAGAATCAATTACGGACATAACGTATGTTGATACCATTGAGTGAAGGAGCTGTTATATAATAGGTAAACAGAAGAATGGATTCAGACTATTACTGAAACACTAAGTTCCTGTTTTTGAAGGAGAATATGACATACATAACATCACTCCATTTATCCCCGAAGGGGTTGGCAGAGGTGCAAATTATGGCACTTAATGTCATTGTACAATATAAAACCCACTTTTCACTATTTATTTTATGAGTCCCATGTAATAGGGGGTGAGCCTATTGCCATATATTGGGCACATTTCCACTTTCCAGGCTCCGCCTACAACTGAGATATTTTTAAAAAACCCAGTCATATTTGCCCGAACCGGGAATCGAACCAGAGACCCCTTGCCCAGCAGTCGCACTTGCGATCACTCTGCCAATGAGGCAGTCAATATGTGACAATTTTGCACAAAACTTGTAAGTAAATAAAGAAATAGTTTTTGGCCTTATCAGTATTTTTTTAACTGAAGATCATATTTACTTTCAGAGAGCATAGCTACTATAGTACATAGTCTAAATGAATTTATAACCTCCGCAGATCTGTGCCCCGTGCTTTAAACAAAAATACAATATTAAAAAGTCGCGATATGCGTATATTATTATTTATTGTACTTAAAACATCCGGGATCAACGTGTGCCTATCATTAAAAAAATACGTCATAATATCGTCATGTAAAAGTACCATGTACCTTTACGAGTAAAGTCTAAAGATAATTACATACTTTTTGCTCTATCATTGATATTCTTAAAATAAGAACATTAATAAACAATTTGTTTTTCAAGTATTCACATGGAAGATGCATTAGTCTTTGTATTATGTTTTTGAAAGACCATTATATGAACACAATCATTATATTGTTAAAGTTTTTCCCTCCTCCACGTTTTTATACCTCTCTGTTCACGATTAACATCGTTCCCAGTGCAAACTCGGTGCAGCCGCACTAACAGACACTGCAATACAACACAAAATACACCCTATGACTGAAAGTATAGAGTATATTTTACGCTATACATGAAAACTTTCATGAAACTGACTGTCAAGGTATTTTGTTAGTTATTCAGTAAGTAACTAGGTCGTTATTCAGTTGTGTGGAGCTGATTAAATTATGTTCATTGTGCTAGCAGGCTTGTTGTGCAACTTTACTCTTTTTGACATTAATTGGCTTTGCCTTAGTGAATACAGAATATAAGCAGGTTTGTGATTCACACGAAACAAAATAAGAATACGATGTCACAGGAAAACTAATCAATCTTCATTCACATACAGGTTTAGGACGTTTAAGCCACCGAAGCGCTGAATATGTTTCTAAGAGTGTCATTAATGTTTTAGTGTCACTTTTATAAGTCCTAAAAAGAGCCTTTGCAATGTGTATTAAGCCAGTTTGTTTCAAACAAAGAGTTTAACATGTCTAACCAAGTCTTCATTGCTTTACGAATACCTATGATCTCCAATTCGCCTGCCGATACCGGGCATTATGTCAAATCCTCTTATGTAAAAGTGGCTCATTACTCAGCGACTATCGCGGACAGTTGATGTCTATTGTGATAGTTTTCTATCGTTCCAACTTTATACCTTAAACCAATCTGGATTTTTCATCACGTTTATGCAGATTTCTCTATTCACAGCCAACGGTAGAGTATCCAATTAATATAATTCACGTGACTAGTAATCGAACACACGCCTCGATTTATATCTGAGTACGTTATCCAGTGGATTAAAGAGATTAATAGGGTTTTAAGGTCTTTAGTTGTGGACAAAAATGCCTTGTATGTGCAGAGAAAAAATGAAATGAAACCTTTCTAAACTCCTTTTAAACAGATATGACCTACAAAATAAGTTCTCACTCTTTTTTATAAGCCCAGCAACGCAACGCACTTGACTACTCTGGCGTTACTGATCACCATCAGGTGATCCATCTGCTCGTTAGTCTCCTATTCCATAAAAATCTAATTAGTCTAGATAGTCACCGTGTATACTCATTTTTGTATGGTATGGTAGTTAATTGTGGGACGCAATGAATTAGCTTTTTTATGGGATAAGCCGGTAAACGAGCAGACGGATCACCTGATGGTAAGCAATTGGCGTCGCCCATGGGCACCCAAAACACCAGAGGCGTTATAAGTGCGTCACCGGCCTTTTGGGGATTGGGTATTTGAGCATTGTTGGACATTCAACTTGGGATTGGGAAGTTATTGGGCCTCCGGTAACCTCACCCACACGACGAAACACAACGCAAGAGTTATTTCACGTTGGTTTTCTGTGAGGACGAGGTATCACTCCAGATGAGCCGGCCCCTTCGTGCCGAAGCATTCTACGTGGGAGTTTTTGAACTTCATGACACTAATGAAAGTGCCATGAAGTTCAAAAACATGAATCATTTCTGGGATTTCAGTGAAGCGTTTGCAACTTTGCATTTTGTTATTGTAACCCTAAACTCTCTCTGTTTCTTTTAAGTCCTACGTCATCTTAAGTATGTATTTATTATTATACTGCTGAAATTAATAATCTATATCAATATCTATCCTAAATATGTATTAGAATGGAGTTTTGTCATAACTAAGGTAGTTGTTTGAAGTTTATTATACATATATAAGTACTTACATTGGTATGATATATAAGTACATTAAAATTGATCGAGACATTAATTTCGCGATTATACGAACGGAAATCCGTATTATTATATCTTATCATTATTAAAAGTACTTTATACATATTTTTTATAGCCGGTGCAAATGTACTAAGGTGCGCTAATGTCGCTGTGTTTAATGTGTTAAATACAAATCTATGATATGATCAGCTTCTAATCGCAGCTTTACCCGTGTATTCCTGTTGTATCCCATGGGAATATTCAATCGGGATAAAAAAAATCCTACCACCTAAGCTATCCGCCTGCCTGTATACCAAATTTCATCAAAGTCCGTTCAGTAGTTTCAGCGTCATTGACGGTCAAAGATCCACATAGAAACTTTTAAAAATATAATTAGTGTGATAAACAAAATATTTTGTTATGGAATTCGTGGAAAATTGTAATCGTCAAATGGAAATACCGATGTTATTGTGATTGCCTCACTTTTGCCTAAAGTCTTGTTATTGTTATTTATTAGGTATAATGGTCAAAGATACGCATTGTAAATATGACATTGAACTAATAGATTAATTG